TGAGGTGGCACCAGTCCGGCTCGTGACAAGACCATACAGAATTTTGGGCGACGCCAGTGTAAATTACCGTCATGGGCACTAGTTGGCAGGTAAACTTCTGGGGTTCCCCGAGATGCGGGGAAGGATAGGAGATTCCCTGCTTCTGCCCGCGTTTCCCCTTCATCTCCAGCTTTCATCATCCATCTCTGCTATGGTTCCAGGGCGCCATGCATCGGTCGTTGGGGACAATGGAAAAAAAGCTTCACCTTAGCCAGGTTGCCGCTTGGTCTGGCCTCCCTCTGCGCTGCTCGGGTCCTTGCGCCTCCTCCGACATCACCGTCAACAAGCTTCTTCCATGTGGCTGACCCTTGGCGTATCTTACTGACGCCCATTCTCCTCCAGTGGAATTTGAGTGGTGATCCAAGTGGAGCTATCAGGGAGAGACCAAGCCGTGGCTTTCACTCGTCCGTTCAGGTTCTCATACTTTCTCGCGAATCCTTCCATCGATCCCTGCTGACACCCATCAACTCTCCTCCAGGGTTGGTCCTTACAAACTAGCCCAACCTGCCGCTAAACCTTTCTGTCTCCCCACAGAGGGTTTCAAGCCGTGCGTGGACGGGGATCTTGATCCCTTTCATGTCTTAAGCTAGGTTCGTCGGATCATCACAGGACTTCGCCCTCCAATCATCGATTCGTTACTTCCGCCACGAGACACGCCGATGGGCTGGCTGGGGTGATGGGTGGCCCGACCACATACAACGGTACCTTCCTGACCGGTGGCACGATTGGTCCAATTCCCAACTCTAGACGCAGCTCTGACCAGACAATTTTCCGCCCATGATGCGGGGTTCGCTCTTTACCCCCGGAGATGACTCGCGGCTGACGCATGGATGAGTCGCTAGTATATATTACGCTACCACCACTCTTCCCAGCGGTGCGACTCTCTCTTTTCCCTTCTTTTCCCGGAGCAGCCAAGCCTCGTTGTTGATCAACAGCCGCAATCATGTTGATCGGCAACATCTACGTGATTGCGAGCGTCGCCGTCGTCGGCGGCGGCTTGTTTGGCTTTGATATCTCCTCCATGTCCGCTCAGCTGAGCGAAAATTCCTATCTATGCTATTTCAACCAGGGCCCTAAGGGACCCCCCTTTACTGACGATGATGACTGTTCCGGTCCCACATCCCTCAACCAAGGTGGCATCACGGCCGCCATGGCAGCTGGATCTTGGCTGGGTGCCTTGATTTCAGGTCCGCTTTCCGACCGCATTGGACGCAAGACATCCATTATGGTCGGCTGTATCGTTTGGTAGGTCAAGACCCGAGGCTCGTGATGATGGTTGCTAACGCTGCCGCAACATCCAGGCTGATTGGTTCGACCATTATGTGTGCGTCGCAGAACATTGGCATGCTCGTGGTTGGGCGGGTCATCAACGGTCTCGCTGTGGGCATAGAATCTGCTCAGGTCCCCGTCTACATCAGTGAACTTTCGCCACCTTCCAAGCGCGGTCGGTTTGTAGGCATGCAGCAATGGGCCATTACATGGGGTATCCTCATCATGTTTTAGTAAGAAAACCCCGTTAGGATCAATCGTGGGGCTGAACTAATGGCGACAGTATCTCGTACGGCTGCTCCTTCATCGGGGGACAGAAGTCTTACAACTACAGCACTGCTTCTTGGCGGGTCCCCTGGGGTCTGCAGATGCTGCCGGCTGTTTTCCTTTTCCTTGGCATGCTGGTTCTGCCCGAGTCCCCTCGCTGGTTGGCGCGCAAGGATCGTTGGGAGGACTGCCACCGGGTCTTGGCTCTCGTCCACGCCAAAGGTGATCTCAGTCATCCTTTCGTTGCGCTAGAGCTGCAGGATATCCGGGATATGTGTGAGCTAGAACGTCAGTTCAAAGATGTCACTTATCTTGACTTGTTCAAGCCGAGGATGATCAATCGTACGATGATCGGTCTTTTCATGCAGATCTGGTCTCAGCTGACCGGCATGAATGTGATGAGTATGTCTTGCTGTTCCCGTCCATTCCATTATTGGGGCAGTGAGCTAATGACGGGTTTACTTTGACAGTGTACTACATCACCTACCTCTTCTCCATGGCTGGGTACACCGGTGACTCCACCCTTCTGGCTTCCTCCATTCAATACATTATTAATGTGTTTATGACCCTCCCGGCTCTAATCTGGATGGACAAGTGGGGGCGTCGCATGCCATTGCTGGTTGGCGCAGCTCTCATGGCCATCTTGATGTATGCCAACGGTGCGATCATGGCGGTTCATGGTACTGTGGTGCCTGGGGGCATCAACGGTGTTGCGGCCGAGTCGATGCGTCTTCACGGCGCTCCGGCCAAAGGTCTGATTGCTTGCACATACCTCTTCGTCGCGTCGTATGCGCCTACCTGGGGGCCTGTGTCCTGGACCTATCCCCCTGAGTTGTATCCGCTCCGGTTGCGTGGTAAGGGAGTGGCTTTGTCGACCTCAGGTAACTGGGCGTTTAACACTGCATTGGGACTGTTTACACCGACGGCCTTTGAGAACATTCGCTGGAAGACCTACATCATGTTTGGGGTGTTCAACACTGCGATGTTCTTGCACGTGTTGTTCCTTTTCCCGGAGACAGCAGGAAAGACGCTCGAAGAGACGGAAGCGATGTTTGAGGATCCCAACGGTATCAAGTACATTGGAACACCGGCCTGGAAGACCAAGATGAAGACCCGGCAAGTGGAGCAGTTGGAGCACGGTCAAGTGGATGTGGAATCAAAGATTGAAACCCGCCACGCAGAGACCTCCGAGACCGTCACAAAATCGCAGGAGGCGACAGCATAATGTGCAGCGGAAGTACATGCAAGTGAGACAGTGAGGTGTATGTAATGTGTCTGTTTTACTGGATGGATACCCTGGGAGTGATGGGATAAATTGTTTGCAAGACCAGAGTAATGGATTGAGGCTACGGGAGCGAGAGGAATGGCAGCGGTGAACGGGCCTGCTAATAGAAGGGTGTAGTATCGTAGTAATATGTTGTATGCAAATTCCTATTTGACTTGATGCTTTGCAGAGACTAATAATATCATCAAACACCACTACGGTGTACTCACCATCCTCAAACAACCTAAGAATAGACCACCAAGCAAGCATAAGAGCACGTGACCATACCTGGAATGTCCCCCCGACACTCAAATTCCCCAACTCAGCCAATGTAACCCCTGATAATAACTACCTGATTTGTTAATTGACCGACAAATAATTCCAGCAGGTATGTGGTGTATATCATTACTCCTCAACTGAGACCACACAAAGTACTAATTTATGATCCTACCCTAGTTGCTCCCTCCACAGACCCCCAATTATCTCTCTCGGTAGTGCTTTAGTGCCGCCCATGTTTACCTCCTCATTGCGTGGGGCGCGAACGCGTCTACTAAAAGTAGTACGACGCGTGCCCACAACATCATCACCTATCCGTCACCACCAACACTACTACTTATTAGTCCCACGGGACTGGACCCATTCCTACTACTCGACTAAAGGCGCATCCACATCCACATCCACACCATCATCATCAAATACGATAAGAACCATCGCGCTAATTAGTGCGATTAGCGCGCCTGCATTATGGTGGCTCGGCACTAACATCAACACCAACACTAGTAGTGATAGGAATATTGCTACTACTAGCCACAACGATGACAATCCAGATACAGCTAATGATGCACCGTATCTTCCCCTCCCACCACGTACACAAGAACCGGTGGTAGAGACAGGTCTCTCAGAGGAAGAAGTAACGCGGCTGATATCGCGCGATGCGTACTCCTTTCCCGTGAGGAATGTCCCCTGCGTGAGCAGATATGATGGTGTGCAGGTGGGATCTAATGACCCCTGTGAGGACCGGCTTGTGCATGGGAGGTTTGCGGCGCCGTGGGGTAGTAAGGATGATAGTAACGGGCAGGGTCAGGGGCAGTGGATGGCGTGGGGAGTGTTTGATGGGCATTTGGGCGGGCAGATGGCTGAGGTGTTAAGGGAGAGATTGGTGGGGGTTGTGCGGGACCGATTGGGGTTGTTGGGTTCCGCTGGAGGTGATGTGGGTGAAGAGGCGGTCCATCGGGCGATCATGGATGGGTTTGTGAGTCTTGATGATTCGATTGTCAAGGGGGCGATGGAGTTGTCGGAGAGTGAGATGCCGTTGGCGGAGAAGGTGAAGAGACTTGCCCCTGCTTATGCAGGCTCGTGTGCTTTGCTGTCGTTGTATGATCCTGCGTCGCGCATGCTGTATGTTGCATGTACTGGTGATTCACGCGCGGTGTTGGCGAGGAAACGAGCAGATGGGGGGTGGGAGGCCGTCCCTTTGTCTGTGGATCAGACCGGTAAGAATGAAGATGAGATTGCCAGGCTTCGTGCGGAACATCCTGGTGAAGATGAGGTGGTCAAGGGTGGCCGCGTATTGGGTCTGGCTGTCTCGCGTGCGTTTGGCGATTGTCAGTGGAAATGGCCGTTGGAGTTTCAGAATGATGTGCAGAAGAGGTTCTATGGCCCGGCGCCGTTGACACCAAGGTATCCGGTTCGCACGCCGCCGTATCTGACGGCTGAGCCGGTGGTTACTAGTACTAGGATTGGGGATGGAGAGGCGGCGTTTCTGATTATGGCGACCGATGGGCTGTGGGATATGATGTCTAGTCAGCAGGCTGTTGATTTGGTAGGGAGGTGGTTGGAGGGAGCAGCGGTAGGTGAGAAGAGCAGCAGGTTGGAGTCTCCTGGGCGGTTTGATTTCAGCCAGTTTTGGGATGAAGTGGATTGGCAATTTGTGAAGGAACGGACAGCAGTCCAGGATGACAATGCTGCTGTGCATTTGGTGCGCAATTCTCTTGGGGGCAATCATCATGAGATGATAGCTGGTCGGCTTGCTTTTAGCTTTCCGGCTTCTCGGCGAGTGAGAGACGATGTGACCGTGCAGGTGGTCTTCTTCAATGATGATCCACGTAAGTGAGGAAAAACCTCTTTTCATATATGACTGCAAATATAGACACCTAAAATATCATGATTCCGACCCCATCCTGCTCCTACACCTCGCCCTAACTCCCCGACTAGCCCTCTGCGCCTGCGAAATAATCTCCCCCTCAAGCCCACACACCAACTTCCCACCCAGAACCAAAATCTCCCCATCAACCATAGTCAAATCTACATCCCTCCCCGTACATCCGTGAACCACCGTCGTAACAACACTCGCCCCATCCTCATCCTCCCAATGCCACGGCGCAGCGCCCACCCCTCCCTTGCCATACGGATCCACGATCACCAGATCCGCCTTCTTTCCCACCTCCAAACTCCCAATCTCATCTTCCAGCCCCAGCGCCTTAGCTCCATTAATCGTCGCCATTTCCAGCACCGTCTCCGCCCCGACCACCCTCGCATCGCGACAAACTCCCTTATGCAGAATCGCAGCTAAATGCATCTCCTGGAACATGTCGTAGTGGTTCGAACACGGCGCGCCATCTGTCCCTAGCCCCACAATAATCCCGTGCTCATACCCCAACATCGCTGGTATCGGCGCCACCCCAGATGCTAGTTTCAAATTCGAGCTCGGGTTATGCGCTACCGATGTGTGCGTTGCACTTAGAAGTGGTAAATCTGTTTCAAGGTCCAGATTGACCATATGTGCTAGCACGAGGTTGTGAGTTTTGCTCTGCTTGTCTTGAAGGTTAGGGCAGAGTTCCGTATCCCGGATGAATTCCATCGCGCTGCACCCGTATACATCATGGTAGATTTCTCGGTCTCGGGGTGCTTCGGCACAGTGCATGGTTAGTGAGATGCCGTGCGATGCACATGTTTCTCCTAGCTCGTGATATAGTGAAGCTGGTGCGCCCCTGGGAGTTCCAGCCGCGGCCCATACGTGCAGTCGGTTGTTGTGTGTGCCGTGGTGGGTTTCGTGGGCGGAGAGCAGACCGGGAATAGACATGGCGAGGAGGTCCTGGTCGCGTGGGTCGGTAATGGATAGTTGGCGGTTAGTCTCGGGGAACTTGATCAGTTTGCCCTATCACAATCATGGCTTGTTAATACTGATCTGAAAATATAATGGAGTGGAAAGGATAGGTATGTTTACCAAGCACCCCCTAATTCCCATCTCCGCCACAGCATCACAGACACTCTCCCATCCCGCTCGGTAGGTCACCATTGGGTCTAAGAAACATGTCGTCCCCGTCTTGAGCATCTCTGCAATGGTGAGCCGCGCAGCATGGTAACCATCTTTGTCTGCGTAGGATGCCTCGAGGGGCCAGATTGCGTCGCAGAGCCAGTTGTGGAGAGGAAGGTCTTCGGCCAGTCCGCGGAGAAGGGATTGAACCAAGTGCGCGTGGATGTTGATTAGGCCTGGGAGGATGATCTTGCCGGTGCAGTCGATGGTGGTTATGTCTGGAGTGAGAAGGTCGGCGGGGACAGGAGATGCCCCGATAGCGGCGATGCGGGTGTCGCGCACGAGGAGGTACCCATTGCGGATTATGGTACGGTCGGGGTTGATGGTTATTATTGTGGCGTGCGTAAATAATGTTTCTTTGGGAGGTGTTGAGGTCATCTTGACTGTAAATGATGTTGGAACGGACAGAAGAAGAGTGGAGGAACCTCTTGTAGCTCTGGTGGAGACATTCAACACTGTCGATCACGATAAGCAGCCCTCGGCCGAGGAGCTAGCCATTTGCCGATGTCGATACCTGCATGCATGGCTTATCGTTATCTGATATACCGTTATCGGGGAGATATAGAAAATTATACAAGATGAGCTAGATCTGCTGGATCAATTGAAGGGATCGCTATTCTTCTCATCTAGATTCGCTATGGAGTCCAAGTCTAGCCCTATCTCCACTGAAGAGTCCCCGTCCCACTCAACTGGGGAAGTTCTCCACGCTTCATCGAAGTGGGGATACTGGAAACACTATCTGACTAGTAGAGATGGCTGGATCGGCGACTATGTAAGTGTTTGTTTACCATACTGTGACTCTACTAACGCATTGCAGGACTACATGTACCTGATTACACCCAATATTTACCCTCTTAATAAGCGCTACAAAGGCGCAGAGCCGCCTTTCTATGGCCTCAATGATGAGGTTCCAATCTTACTAACCATCATCCTGGGCCTGCAACATGCCCTAACAATGATCGGTTCGGTGGTTTCTCCTCCTTTGGCCCTCGCAAGTGGCGCCTTTTATCTGAATTCCGTACAATCACAGTACCTCGTCTCCGCAGCATTCATCACTACCGGCATCGCCACAGCATTGCAGGTAACACGGATACATCTCTTCAAAACACCATTATACATTGGCACAGGACTGCTATCCGTAGTCGGTCCCACATTCGATGTCATCGCTGTTGCCATGAACTACGCAGACACCAGGTACAACAACGGCTCATGCCCGACAGACGAGAATGAATCGCGTCTCCCGTGTCCCGAAGCATGGGGTGCCGTGCTAGGTACCTGTTTGTGTACGGTCTGGATACAGATCCTCATGTCCCTAGTACCTCCAAAGGTGCTGAACCGCATCTTCCCCAAGGTAGTCACGGGAAGTCTCCTGCTCCTGGTTGGAGTATACCTTATCTCAAGTGGGATGGAGAACTGGGGTGGGAGCTCAAACTGTGATGGTGGGACTGGGTATTATGCCCTCTGTCCTAATGTGGATGCTCCAAGGCCGCTGCCATGGTATGTTTTACCATCTATTTCATCTGAAAAGCTAATAATTCTAGGGGCGATCCCAAATTAATCGGCCTCGGCTTCAGCGTCTTCGCGACCATCATATTTGTCGAATTCGTTGGCTCCCCACTCATGAAATCCGCCTCTGTCATCCTAGGCCTAGCAGTCGGCTGTGCCATTTCCGGCGCAACAGGCTACTGGTCTCGCGACGAGATCGACGCTGCTCCCGTGGGCACCTTTCTCTGGGTGCACACCTTCCCGTTGTCCGTTGATGGAGCCCTCGTTCTCCCACTTCTTATCATGTTTGTCTGCGAGGCTGTCAGCTGCATGCCGGACATTCTGGCCACGGCGGAGATTTCCCGCGTGGATATCGAAGGGCGGGAGTTTCATAGTCGCATTCAGGGTGGAATCTTATGTGATGGACTAGGAAGCCTGATCAGTGCGTTAGGAACTGGACTTCCCATGGTTAGTCAGGCGGGAAATAATGGGGTTATTTCGTTGACTGGATGCGCTGTACGTATTCATCCATGTTCTGTTACCGACGCAGTGTTGACTTATGTATACAGAGCCGACGAGCAGGATGGTGTGCCTCTGCATTCCTCCTTCTGATGGGCATCTTTGGTAAATTCGGCGCTGTCTTTGGATCCATGCCTCCTTCTGTGCTCGGAGGAATGCAGGTATTTCTGTATAGCACGATCGTGGTGGCTGGTGCGCGTGTCCTCGGTCTGGTGGATTTCAATCGACGCAATAGATTCATTCTTACTGCGTCGCTGGGGATCGGCATGATGGATATTGTCTCACCAAGCTGGTTCAGTTCCGTGTTGGCGTATAGCGGGCCTAATGTGCATTTGCAGGGGTTTGAACAGGGGATTAACCTGATTGTTGAGACGCCGTTTATTATTGCTGCGGTCGTGGGTGTGGTCCTGAATCTGGTGTTGAAGGAGGATGAGAAGGCGGATACGGTGTTGCCTTAGTATGCAGTCACCTTGAAGTATATTACCATCTTATTTATCATGGACAAGTTTGTACAATTACCAAATATACTATCCAAGTTTAATAATGACACACAAGGTACTAAAGCTCGATAAAAATTGTAGTTATCTCGGTATGTAAAGAACACAATCAAGCAGCCTGCTCCATCAACTTCAACTTCTCCTGCAACGCCGCAAAATTCCTCTTCATCGCGTTCGCATTGAACTGCTCCCCAGTAACAAGCGGATACTTCTTCTTCGGCCCCTGGATCAGCGCGTCCTTGCACGGCTGATTGAAGTACGCGATACTATATCGATCGCCGAAATAATCGCCTGGCTCGGATGGTGCCTTGACCCGATGAAACGTGGACTTGAACCGATCGTCCGACCATGACATCAACAAGTCCCCAATATTACACACTATATCTCCAGTATGTGCCTCCACTTGTGTCCATTCATCCCCGATACCGAATTCTGTGACCACTTCCCGTCCGGGGCATATTTCCAGCCCGCTCTGGCCTTCCTTCTGAAATAGGAGGGTCAAGAAATCCCAGTCTGCGTGTGCTCCAGCCCGGTGGTAGGTCTTCCCGTCGGGCTTATCTGGAAGAGCGTAGTAATGTAACAGTCGCATGGTGGTCTGTTCGTTCGGTCGCGATACATCGTGGCATTTGATGAAGAAGTCATCGGGGAAGCCGAGGCCCCGGGCGAAGCAGATCATCAACCGCTCGGAGACTTCCTGTACGCGATGCATAAATGCGAGAGATGTGTTTTTAAAGCCAGGAAGATGTGCATCGCTCATCCACAGGTCGGCCATGTTTTCGCCAAACTGCAGCTGGTAGGACTCTTTGGTATCAGGCTGGCCCGTCGAAGGCCGTATCTGGGCTTTCTTCTCCCATCCTACGTTGTTGGCATTCCACGGCACAGTAGCTTTGATGTCGTCCGGGAGGGAGAAGAAGCGCTGTGCAGTGGAGAACATGTTCTCAATTTCGGAGACGGAAATGCCATGGTCAATTAGGGTGAAGAAGCCCACGTTCTCGGCGGCGTTGACGAGTTCTGAGGTGATTTCGTCGATGCGCTGGTCGAAGTCGCGCAGCGAGATGCGAGGGATGGGACGATCGACGTATCTTGTTGCCATTTTCTTAACCTAGATGCAGTTCAATGATGCTATCATGCTAGAAGGTGTTGATGAGAGTATAGTTATAAGAAATGAAGCTAAGAGAGTCAGCTCGGCCGAGCTTATCAGCGGGGAACTGCGATGTCGGCCGTTTCCCCGCCTTATCAATCAGTGACTGGTCCAACCCCAGCCCGGCCGAACAACAAACCACTTTCTCCCCATCATGAGCTCCATCCGTCGACGCCTGGCCTGTGTGGAGTGCACCCGGCGCAAAATTCGCTGTGACAAAGTTGTCCCATGTCGTAATTGCACGAGGAGGTGAGCATCCCCGAACTTGCTCTTGACAGCGGCTGACTCCGACAGAGGTATTACTTGTTCTCGTGCTAGAGGTAGCGACGATGAGGTGGAGAGACTACAAGCTCGTGTCCAGGAGCTTGAATCTGCCCTGAAAGAGGCGACTGATCCACAATTGCAACCTAATTCTCGACCCAAATCTGAGATCATCCACAATGCTAGCAATACCCCTGTCTCCGACACGGTGGAGACCCCCGAACGTGAAATGGCGGACGCCGCCACCATCCTCGAGTTCCTCGCATGGGGCCGACGGAAGAACCCGGACTATCACGATATGCTAGCCCGTAAAGATGGTGTTGAGCATCATTCCCCTGGCGACGTAACAGCCGAAGGCAGCGGCGATGACCGGAACCCCGAAGTTTCCTCCGCTCTGGCGTATCTCCAGCTCCTCCTCCCAGACCGTGAGCTCATGCAGCAGCTCGTCTCCTACCATTGCGACTGTGTGCTTTGGTACCATGGCTCCTTTCACTCCCTTCGTCTACAAGACGAACTCGACGACTTCTTCTGCTTCGCCAATGGTCATATCGCCCATCCTCGCGTCGACCTGCAATGGGTCGCTCTTCTCTTCTCTGTCCTTACCGGCGCCCTCGCCTGCGCTCCTCGCATGGCTGCTCAGGCATGGGGCTTTTCAGAATGGGAGCAGACCACTCTAGCACAGCGGTGGTTCAAAGCCGTCTCGACGTGTCTTCACCACGCCGACTTCACCGCCGTCCACTCCCTATATGCCGTCCAGGCCATTGCAACACTAACCATGTCGGCTCATCTCCTCGGCTTCTCTAATAGCCTCTCTGTCCTGCTCGCAGCCGCTACCCGTATTGCCCAGGGCCTGGGACTACACCGTCTCGGCTCGGAACGTGAAACAGAACCCTCGCCGGCCATGATTGATCGCGAAATTGGTCGTCGTGCCTGGTGCCAGCTTTGCATCCAAGACTGGTTCTCCATTCCCTTCTCAGAGAGCTATCTTATCCCACGGACGTGCCTGAATACTGCCCGCCCGCGGAACTGCCGCGAGGAGGACATGCTAAAGCTACCTGATGATGACCCAAGTGTCGCGGGATACTCGAGGTTCTTTTACCAGGTCGCGGCACTTATGCCGTCGTTGCAGGATAGCATGGCTGCGTCGAATACCCTGTATACGCGATACGAGAAGGTTTTGGAACATGATCGTAAATTGCGCAGCTTAGCTACACAGGGCCTTCCACTGTACTTGAGGAATGTACCTGTCGAGGAACATCCGGAGTGGCCGAGATATGTCCTCTGGGCTAGACGCAGCTTGGCGATCAGCTCATCGCACAAGATTATCATGATCCATCGGAAGTTCCTCGAGTTAAGCTTCACGAACCCGGTGTTTGCTAGGACGCGTCGTACGTGCGTTGCTGCCGCGCGGACAATCATCAAGGAGCAGAAAGAAGCGATCCATGATGGCGGACCGGTACTTTGGATCCACCAGGCCTTTAGTGTTGCTGCTAGCGTACGCAATTACTGTCCACCCTCACCTACTTCTTCATTGGCTAATAAAAACAGATAATATTATGTCTCGACCTTTTCCACCGCACCACTTCCGACCCGGAGACAACCTACCACCGCCAACTCATCAATGACGGCCTGGAGATCCTCTCGCACAACGAATCGAACATGATCGCCCGACGGGGAGTGCATCTTCTCGAGGCGCTGCTAGCGAGAGAGCGCGACCGGAGTAGTCCTAAGCATCTACCGTCACCGGAGCAGAACGCGGATCGGGACTTGGATCTGGTGGGAGTGATTCGGAGTTTCTGTGAGAAGGGCCGCTGGCAGAGGAGTCGGACGGCTTCACGAGATGGGAGTCAGGGTTGGCCGCCTGTGGATCGGGGGTCGAGTGAGAGGAATGCACAAGCGCAGACTCCGGTGGGGGTTACTTCGCCGACGTTGGAGAGGTTGTCCATGTCGTATGGCTTGGAGTGTGCAGAAAGTTTGGAGGATATCTTGGTGTTGGCGGCGAATTATGCTACTTGATCGAGGATGGTATGAGTGGTAGGGATTGTGATGTTTTCGATCTCGACCTGTGAAAGAATTTTGTACCTGTGAGTGTGGACCACATTCAGGTGACAATTATGATTGATATAGACTGTGAATATTCTGCATTGTGTACATAGATTGTAGAATGATTGATACGTAAACTCCCTCGTTTGATCACCATACTCTATGTCGCTCGATATTCTTATGTCGATAAATAAGTCAAGACATTGTCACCAGCTCAGACACGAGGACTATACTGGTATACCTCAATCATTCTATTGCTACCATAACCACATGCCAAAAGTCTAGTTTAAACCTCTACATAAAACACACCAGAGAATGCTCAGAACCAACTAAACCCTCCCCTCTACCCCCTCCTGCATAGGAAGAATCTCAAACGTCTCGCTCCCCCTCTCCCTTCCCATGTTCCACCACCACCCACTCTGGTATCCCTTCCTCGTCTCCTTCTGCAACCTCTTCGCCTCCTTTCTCTCCCTCTTCGCCTGCTTCTTCTCCATCTTGACCCTCTTCTTTTCCGCCCGACTCACCCTCGGAAACTCCGACTCCGGCCCCTGCAACACCCGCCCCGGATGAACCACGTTCAACAACACCAGCGCAATAAACATCGGCACCGCATCAAACACATATTCGTATGCTTCGTGCGTAAGCACGGGATTACTCGGGTCCGTGCCTTGTGCGTATTGGCAGAGTCGGAAGATGATTCGGATCTGTTTTCCCAGACCATATTCATTAGTATACAGATGTCCTCCCTGGAACCGGTAAGGTGGATGTGGGATAGACGTACAGTAATCATCCCCAACGCAGTGTACATCACGTAGAATAGCCACCGCCATGGCATAGGCTTATTCCTACTTGTGGTAATGCCCATGCCTGCCATACCGCCCGGACTCAATATCCCTGCCCGCTCAAGGTAGATGAGTTTTCGATGGAGATGGATGATCAAGCCGGTAAATATCAATACGAATAGTTCTTGTAGTCCGATACCACCCATGTAGATATGCACGCCTAGCATGATTGTGCTGGTCGGTACATCTGTCTGGGTGGTGATGGCTGCCCCGCCGAGTTGCACTAGGAAGGCGAAGATGTCGAGCCAGACGAAGAGTCGGCCGTAGCGTCGGGCTGTGATGCCGGCGAGTTCTTGGTCTGGGGTAAAGAAGTAGATGAGTCGGCCGAGGGTCATGTAGAGGAAGGCGTTGATCCCTGTTCGAGTTGGTTGGTAAGTGGGGTATGTAGAGTTGGGAGGTAAGAGGGGAGAGGTACAGAGAGGAGCGAGCAGGAACATGATCGTATAGACGGTGTCGTAGTTGGAGTTGTTTTGTTGTCGAGTGAGGAGGGCGCGGAATATGAACGCAATTAGTTCCCAGGCTGCGCCCATGATGATGACCCAAGCGTAGCGCTGTAGGTAGTCGTTAGTCAATTCGCGGGGTGGTTGGGGCTTCTGTGAAGGGTGATGTATACCTTTTTGTACAGGAAAGCTTGTACCCCGTGGCATATGAGGGTTAGGCCATATAGAACGCAGAATAATACTGCTGCCGCTAGAGAGGGAACGTAGAGGAGGATATTGTCACAAGCCTCTGGAGGAAGGTAGCCATTCTTCCCTGGTTTGGGATTGGTGCATGTTTGGGTTGATGCCAGAGCACTGGTGGTAGTAGAGATTGAAGCTGTAGTTGTGCTCATGGCGACAAGCTAGCGAGTCTGGTCACAAACCTCAATTCTTAATTGAGTTTCTAATGTTCGATATCTGATCTACTGGTCGACTTGCGGCACGATCTAGGTCTATATACACCTCACCCGACATCCAACAGAGCCTCGGAATCAGGCAGACACACAATGGATATAAATAACCGACGATAAACCAGTTTCATCTCTGCAAGACCGACAAATAAGAGCACATCCTGGCCATGATCTCGAGTTCTGGGAATCTGACAGGATGCTTGGCACTCCTTCGAAATATACGAGCAGTGCCAAGAATAGATTATCTTAGGCAGCTACCCGCGCTTTCCCTTGACAGGCATAGTGCTGCTCTTGTTTCACGCTCCGACCAATAATATCATCTTTTGATGGAATTTCGCCCCATCAAGAAACAGAGGTATATTCTGCCATACTGGCAGTGCAGAGTTGGCTTTCATTGCATACATGGCAGCAAGTAGAGTTAAAGATGAGCACCACCACAACCCAAACCCACCTACCCTGATAGCTGACAAGAGACACCGCCCCCATCATTTCGAACAGCCACCTATCCAACACATCAGCGACCGTGACCTGAAGTCTTGACAGAAGTAATACTGATTCGATATGGAGAACTTACAGTTCCACTAATATCTCACCAATTAGGCACGCACTTGCCCTGTGCAGCGTCGATGCTCAAATCACATTTCTCCCACCAGCAGCATGATCGTCAACCCTCCCATGTGCAACAGTACTCGCCAGTGTGCGCTCGGCAGTCCTCGCCCTCTACACTCCAGTTAGCTAACACGATCTTGGAGATGAGAAAGAGAAAAACACCCACCACCTTGAGGAGGAATATATAATCTAGCGAGGAATTGGCGGTCGCCTATCGGAACGCGAGCCGCAGTGACCATTGCAATGGCAGTTGTGAATGCAAAAAGACTGACGAACTTCATCTTGGGGATGGATATAGATCAATATAGGAATAGTAGGCAGATATGGGTGAGTAGATTACCGAAGTCTCGATGAAGGAGAAGGATGGATGGGGCCATTGGGGTTACTTATATGCGCTTGAAATTGGTAGGGCTGTCTATGCCCGCATTGATGATGGACATGTTTGCTTTTTGACTGGGATGTGTGTGATGCCCGAAGAGCCTGGTATGCACCGGACGATCCTTCCTCGTGTATCGTTGAGGATAGCCAATTATCACATGAAGGGGTGATTGCGATAACAGGTTAAGTGTGCGGGGTTGAAGTGGCTTAAAGTGAAAACTCATAGGATCTACCCTTGCGTTGCTTATTGTTTAGTTCAATGATAGCCCAGCCTGCATTGTGGTTTCTTTCGTATGGATGGCTAGCTGACTTCCAGCAAGGCCTTGCTCATTATGGCTGTTTGCTTGAAAACTAGGTCTATTCAACTGTCAATTGGATGAAGAATCTTATTGAGCTATCAAGATATGTATTGGTCATCCATGTCACATCCATACGTAGTAGAATTTGTTAGTTTTCTTATGGTAGTTTATGCAAATCCCATGCTTTGCGATAACGGAGTAGGAGATACTAATTCTGCTTGACCTATATCTCTAGGGTAATTTGACTAAGGGTTGCATGGAGTCCACACTGGCTAACTGCAGGACGGAGAGCCATTACTGTAACTAGTAATCAACCCCGCTCAAACCAAAGTCCTTGGCGGATGCTAGTAATGTTTATCGATAAACCTGAAGGGCACATTCGAAGAGTTACGATAGCTTCGGGGATGTCCGTTACCAGACCAACCAATGAGACAATCGAGGTTGCTGAAAAGGTACCGCAAATATCGTGGTGCGCACACCCCGCGCAGTGACTCAGTGCTGCGTAGAGGGCGCAGCAACTTAGGAAAAGCAACTCTGAAAAAGCAATGGAGTGGGGTAAGGGGGAGAATTTCTTTGGATTCGACGGGAGCGGAGAAACTCATGCTATCGGAGAGGGGACATCAGATGAAGAATTGCGTGATATGCAGGGTGTATTAATGTATTCTAGTTTGAGATAATTCATCACAGAATGCTCTGTCTGTACCCCCTCTGACAGTGACCCAGAACGTTATGAGAATAAACGTGTGATTATATCTGATGGCAACCATTAGAGATCTGCATTTCTTTTAGCCATGATCTATGCAGGTCTGTCCTTTCCAACAATGAGGCCAAATGATGAGTGCCCAATCCCGATGCCATCTCTAGCCTCACTCATTTGCGGATTGGTACTAATGGATTGACTGGTCTGTAGAGACCAGGTGGATTCCCTGTTAGTAGAAAAGCCAGTGATCATGGCTGGGTCAGTCGTGGACCGGATAGCTCGGAATAGGACTCAGATTCGGGATCTGAACTGCCATAAGCATGATGTTTTGATTAGAGAACAACAGTGTCTGCCGTGGTTCCTTTTGGGATCTACATCTCCATCCAGGATAGCTCAGTCTCTTATGCGGCTGAGGGTATGCACTGCATTAGTCTGTACATACCTACTTCCTACTGGTGAGTAAGAACAATTCATTTTCAGCTCATTGCCGATCATTACAAGACTATCCCTTATTGGGCTGGGAAGTAATGCACAAATCACCGTCCCTCGGGATTTGGGGTCAGACGTACGTTGATCACACCGCTGAACAACGTTGCTTTTGTTGGATTTGGTCCATTGCACGAACATGTCAAGGTATAAAAGAAGGGCAATGATGTATCAAGATCGAATCTCCAACCATCCTGAATTTTATAATTGACTCCCCGAGGACATCTTGCTGGTATTCTCGTGCCTTGTTTCGAGCCGTGCAATCTATAAGGCCTTAAATATGAGATTCTCCCTCTTTATGGCAATCTCTGCCTTCGCTGGCTATGTTGCTGCAGCAAGTATTCCACTAGAACAACGTTCCTATTCTTGTAGCGTGGAGGGTGAATACTGCTGCACATGGGAAGGATGTAAAGACTGTTGCACATACTGTGAACTGAGCATTGATGACGCTCAAGGACACTGTGCCTACTTTTTCTGGTGAGGAAACTTTTACCCGTCCGAATGATCTGGGTTCTGAAGTATACTAATGATCTCGAGGTAGAGACTCATCAACGAAGGAGGAACTCAACCGAGTAGTAAAGCGCCATTGGCTGTGGGGATGGATAACTAAGGGGATGGACGACTTCCAAGGTACTACAAGGACTACATAGTGGAATGTGGGTGTATTTAGAAGTACTCGGGTCTGTGTCTACTTTGCAATGAATTGGGTTTGTTTTTGATCAAATAGATGATGTCTTCTTAAAGCAAATGTCGAGTTACGACTAGCGTGCGATGGGAAGCGAGCGTGGCAAAACAGTCGAGGAAGCTGGCAACATATCAGGGAGAGCAAATTGACCGGATCATTAAGTCCAGTGTGTAGCAGACATTGAATGTGTGAATGATGTCTCAAAAGACACATATATACTAGTGTTGGAGTTCATGAAGAAGTGGTGTCGAGCAGCGGCAGCACGAAAATTAGCCGATAGGCACTTGTAAAACACCCCTTAGGTGAGGCCAGCCGCATTGAGGTTTTCGGAAAGCCGTTCTTGATGTAGCCGTTTTTCTGTTCGGGGCACACTGTCGGGCTTCGCCCAGTAAATGTAGGCGGTCTCCAAGAATAGGCCCATGAGAGTAGTGAAACTATAACGAGTCAGTAATAAAGATCGGCAGGGTGTTTTCGAGTCACTTACAATGCAATGAAACTAAATGCCTCGGCAGTATAGCTTCGGGAGCAAGATACTTCTCCAATCCAGCGGTTGACGCGACAGGTCCTCCGGTTGAAGTTTAAAGCGAGCAGGATGAACGAGGTGAGCCATCTATAGTTATCAGCACTGACCACCAACCGGCCTAGCTCCAGCAATTGAATACTACTTACAGGTACGATATGATTGCATCGGTGACAAGTAGTGGGATAATGTGCCACTTGGCACGACGTGCTAAGCAGCTGATGCCTACAGCTACAGCTATGACAACCAGACTCGTTGTAGCCTGTACCAAGGTGAGAATAAGACCTTTTCAAAAACAAAACAACAGACTACTTACAATGACAAGTGAGAAGATAACACTGAGAGTCTTATTATCCTCTCTCACGGCCCAGGCTGTAATTCCCAGGACTATGATCGAGCTGATGGCTTGGATCGTCCGGGCAAACCACCCCACTAGCCCCAGAGGATGGCCAAGGTAATCATGCATGATGGGTGACTCAATAAGGGAGGTGGTATACGACAGAGAAGATATAAAGGTGGATGAGTCGTAAAATGCGAGTATGAAGAAAGGATTGCCTTCATGTTCCGCTATTCATCCAGGCCCGTATATACAATCCGTCAAAGTCTATGATCTCATCATTTGTGGGGACCCGACCTCAACCATGGATACAACAAACCGCAAACCCTATTGGATGTGCGTATTTATGAGATATCAATGAACAAATTGATACTCTCCAGCAGTGGTTGGCTGATCATGAAATTGTGTAGCTCACCCCACACTATATTCTACGGTACGACCTCCTTGGCAGAAGAAACTCGTCAGGAAATATATGCCCTCGACAGTCGAATCTCACATAAACCAAGTCAATCTATCAACCTTGATGAACCGGAAGCCACAGTATATAACTAACAAAAGCCAAATAACAACAGGTTCAACTAGGAAAGGTTAGAACAGATTGATGTGACATATTGACAAGCAATGCAAGCATCCACCTTTCACGCGGAACTGTCACCACCCCAGGAAGAGAACTGCCTCACTGAGTGCGTTACCCCATTCGCATTCTGCTCCCGCGATACAACATGGGAAATACCGTTGGCTCTCATTGCCCTCCGAAAAGGAGACATTCCGTGCGAAGGTCTTGGTGCATGTGGCTCGATCCAGCCTTTCTTATGGTCCACCATCGCGCTCATGACCAGCTCACTCCATACCTGATCGGTAGGGGTGAAAGGACACTCGAAGGCCCATTCCACAAACATATGTGCATTATTTCTCTTCTCAGCTGAGGCATTATTTCCTGCTTCCAATTGTATTGAGGGGGTATGCAACGACACCTCGACAGAACCGCCGTAGGCGGTCTTCTGTGCCAGACGCTCGATATGAATTCTGAGAGCAGTGCAATCCTCATCTAGAAAATGACCTGATTTGTGAAGACTCCAGCTGATAGAAGACATGGGTTCGTCAGTATAAGATGAGGCAATTGGACCGGTCATCCAAAAGAACTGACCTTCGATCAGCTGCATCATCATGGTTTAACAGATCATCAAGCCATCCGCCCAATATATCATCGGGGTCGCTGTCATCGCAGTCAGCGGGGTAGCTCCAACAGCGAGGTTCCACATCATTCTCTGTCAGGAACTTGGCCGATCGTATACCGACTGCTTTCGGGCAGTCGACCCAGATATCAAAATCCATAATATTGTTGTCTTTATTGACATTGTGTGTGCCGAGTATTTGCAGCGATGCTTTAGGTGGCACACTCAGCTGCTCCGTCAGAGAAAGGATGGTGTTCCCTGCGGAAAGAGCCATAGTTCCTTTTTCTCGAAGCCTTGGGTTTATAAGGGAGTATGAAAGACCAAAACAGGGAGGTTTCAGTTGAATTGGTTCGTGAGGTTATGTTCCCTCAATGATGAATGATGGATGACAGAGGACGGAGCACGATCTGCGTGTCCTTGTGTCAGCCTTGTGAGCTCCTCGGCTCACGGAAAAGCCCAATCAATTATCTAGCTCATGTCGTGTGCTTTGGTAATGAGTCATCTTGTGTAGCGCAATTAGTAGCGAGTTTCTGATCCCTGTACGATCTGACAGGGTATGTTTCAGCGTGCGAGCGGAGAAGTACACCCGGATCGGTGATCCCTCGGATTACCTAACGATATTACTAGATGTCGTTAGGTATTGGCATTTAACCTGAAGGAAGTCTCGTTGATCACTGACCTCAGGGGGTAAGGTCGTAAGTGATGTTTTGGGGGGATGGAATATAGCATTCCATGTGATTTTAGGCCACGGCCCAAGGCCAGTGATCGATGCCTGAGGCAGCAATATCTCAGCTGCGAGCCATTTTCGGGATAACCGAATAAGTGGATTAGTGGAGTGCATATAGATCAATACAGTTGTAAATTACGAGGGATTAAATGTCACTCAGCTTCTAAGTGGTCATTGATATATATTGTTCCCCCTGCCACGAACCACATAGTAGCATCCGAGAGAGTCGCCCAGTTTCTCTATTAGTACCCGCTCCATCCCGGGTCCGTTTTCTACGACATTTCGGGCTTTGATGAAGCCTGGTGTTGACTGATGTAGACTTCGTGATTTGATTGCCTTTTCGGTAATTATGAGAGTGTGGAGTCGAATGTGCGACAAAGATGCAACCTGGCTCGACACCAAAGCTTTTACGATCTATCGCTATGTTTATGTAGTGGACTAACGCCAATTTTAGCCGAAGTAACATCTGTACAGTGGGCCATCAACAGTCAAATGTCGAGTCAATGATAATCATATTTCATTCCATAGTTAAGCTAAGGCGATGGCAAAAGCAATTGTACGAAAGCATTATGGAGAAATGGCCCGGAAGAAACCGACTGTAACAGGAGCACACTCTTCTGGACTCAACTACTGTGCACGACCATTCCATCGACTCGGCCGCAGTACCGATTATAGGTATCCCCAAATGTCCCATCCTCACCAATGCAGATTTTGTACGTCATTCTAGCGTAGTATTCAGCGTGGTCAGCAAGCTCAGGTGCCACCTCGCCATACGTGCAGCAAAGGATCATCCAACACCGAACAAGGACGTCCATTGCCAGTCCCCATCGCGTGACACGCAACTGCCTACCTTTCTTATACGGAATTTGCCAGCCTTCGATCACGTAGCCGAGGGATTCGAGCGTTCTGATAGCATATCCAATAGCTTTCCGCCAACGACCGTGGGAGGCATGCACCTCTGCCAAAAACAACCCTGTTTTACAGATCCCAAGACGGGGCACTTCCAAGGGTAATCGCCGATACGTTTGCTCAATCATAGCAATGGCAGCTTCTGTCATGGTAATTGCAGCAGTCTGCTCCTGGAGACTGAATGAGGATTTGTAGGCGTTTGCTATGTAATTCATGGCCGAGTCCGAAGCAGCCATGAGTTCTCGTCGCTTCGCCAAACCAGCTTCCCCTATTTTGCGCACATCATGACAAATTGCGCAGTCACACTGGAATCCCCAATATTTCTGATATACGTTTTCTGCTGTACCGTCATCCACGGGTGTTCGATACCAGAATTTGAGCTCCGTGTTTGCGGGAAGATCTTGTGTAGCGCGAAGTACCATCATATCTCCGATGAATGCTCGGTATGTGTTTGGATAGCAGCAGTGATTTATGTAAGATGCGAGACGCCAGATTCCACTGGAATCGAATTGTTCATTATCAGTGTCAAGATCCCCGTTGTCTGCATTAATCCTGCATATGTGGGCTGTACGTGACGTGACCGAGCAGCCGAAACCATTAAGTGACATTACTCGCTCAGCCAGATAACTGGAAATGTCAGTATATTCCATGTTGCCCGCGCCCTGGAAGGTGAGACTTACGTATCAACGACGGGTGAACCGTCGACCTCAGAGACACCCACAGACGTATATGAGCCATGGTATAGATCATTGAATGTCGGAATTAACGATGGGTTGTTGTGCAGCTTTCGTACGATGAGACTATTCAGTTCGGCTTGGGTACCTACGTTCATACTGTCTGTATCGGCGTACACCAATATCGAAACGTTGGTCATCTCACCCTCTTCATGGAAAGCATACGCAAAGGCTTTTTCACAAAGAAGTAGGTCACCGGCACGGACCGCCTGTGTTGTAAACAAACCACTTCCATGGGTAGAGGGCCTCACCTCAACAGGGCCAACATACGTTGCGTGGTCCAAATGTGGGGGCTTAAGTTTTGTTGCCTGATCCTGCATTTCTTTGAATGGATACTTGCCAGTCTGCTGCTCTGCGAGTCGCGCTGCGGCACGTGTAAACTCGCTTTTAGCGGTCGCGTTCTCTGGATAGGCCTTGCAAAGGTCTACGTAAACATCACAGCACTCTTGAAATCTCTGAAGATAGTAAAGGGCTTGGGCTTTACGGAACAGTGCTTTCTCAGCAGATCTATCCTTGGATAGGATGTGCTCGACATCGCCCAGGGCCGCGTCGAACTGATAGGTTTTGAGGAACGCCTGAGCACGGTTAAGCCTTATTGTAAACTCTTCCTTGGCAGTAGTAGGACGATTCAGAGCCTTAGAATAACTGCGTATTAGTTAGTGCCCTTTTCAGTATTTTCAAGGTCAGATTAACAGGTACCAGTTAATAGCAAGTTGGAATTCCTTATCGTTGTAGAAGTCATTTCCTATTATTTTCCAAGAGTTGGCAGAACTAAGATCTTCTGACGCGTCTCTCCAGACTGAGGGCATCATAGAATCATCCTCCAGAATGAACCTGATATCAGATAGGTGGTCGACTCGCAACCCACAGTCTCCATCGCCCATTACTTTAAGATATGGCTCTTTTATAAGCATGATTGTTCCATCAACGAGCCGCCCATCGGTGATGAGGTCCCTATCCTGGTTATACAGCTGCAAGGCAAGAACGTCTCCTTCCTCATCTTCCACCACGGTCACGATTCCTGTCTTCCTAAACGCAGGAGTAACTGCTCTCAAGAGGATGTAAGAGCCACGATGATGAGTCTCGATGGTAAGATTCTTGATGGGGATCTTCTTCAAATCTCCCAAAGCCGCAATGGAGGGTGGGTATGCAGGAGGGACAAATGAGGTGCGAATCGCATTCTTGTCCACCGGTGTGGTAGTCTCTGCCAAGTAGCGATGAATAAACTGGTTTATTATCTCGTCGCGGGACTTTGTCAGTTCGACTGGCTGGCCCCTGCGAGATTGGGCATTCTTTAGGATTTGCCTCTGATCCTCCAGGTATTGCATGTATTTAGGAACGCGTGAGGCGTCATGGCATTCCATCTTGTTGGTTGGTTTAGGTCAAGGTATGAGGTCGGTGTGACATGTTACGCGATGACTGAATATGTGGATGAACGAGGATTTGAATGAGAGCGAGCGTGAAAATGGGAAGAGAAGGAGGAATATTTCATTTAGTAGAGGTGAGAAAGAATTCGGGACGACAGTGAAAGCAAACGAGTGGTGAATGCAAACGAACGAGTGCAGCCGGAACTTGCCGTGCTGTCATGCTTCACCAGATGAATCGCTTTCCCTATTTTGCAATGACATTGCTGACAGTAACAGATTGAAACATCACTGAACACACAGATAGTCACTAAGGCAGCCTTCACTATAGCCATATATCTCATTACTAGTTATGCGGATGTATGAATGGCATCACATGCATTATTGCTATGATGGAACTTGGCGACCTGGGAAAATATGAGGTAACACTGAACCAGCGGCTATATCCATTATGTATGGAGGCCTAACATATCAGCATAGTGACTGTGTACCTATTCGAACGATTATAATAGCCAAAAGATGTGGCTGTAGCCACCGCTCATCTTGTACCTGTTCTTTTCTCCTTTCTACTGACCTGATCGAGTCGAACAAACCGACCAGAGACTGTCCAAGATTGAACAGCTAACAGCGGAATATGGCAGTACAGTGCACTGACCATACCCCTGCTACACCGTCCCTTTCGACACCAAACTCAATCCCAGCAGAACTTAAGCTGCAAAGGTAATCGGACAGGCACCTCAGAGAGTAAAACTGACTCATGTATCAACAGTTTAATCTCCATAAATTCGACATTGTAAGTGATGGACACGGATAACCCCCTGCCGATCCCACGCTAATTTCACCGCATCTTCCGTATGTAAAAATTATCAGTGTATTGGGATCGTCGGGTCTGGGTCACTCTCCCCATTCTAATCTCCATTTGCCAATACTTTCAAGCCAGACTAATTCTTTTCGACAGCCGTTGTCCCCTAAATCTCTCCGCAAGCTAAGATAGTCAGTAGCAGTGATCATTCCCAGACTGGGTGTTGAATAACGGCGGATCTGCTTATCAGATATGATATGATGTGCAGTGCTGTGGATCCCTTAAGCCATAGAAGATACTACTTTGTAGGCTATAATTGTTAATCAATATAGTATGTCATGGCCTCTTCGAGTCATGTTAACAATAGCATGCCGTGGTGTCTGAGCTACAAATTATGAGTAGACTAGTTGGAGTTAGCACTTCGGGCTGAAATTGCCTTTATTAAAATGTAGAGTAAGTCTCCCCGCTCGGGAATTCCTCCCGATCCATGGTTTTAGATATATAGGCCTCATCAACGTATTTCCGGCAATACTTTCCCCTGTCTCCAGGTCTTCGGAATTGGGGGATTGCGGAAATGCAAGGTGCTGATTCTAGGGTTTCGCGCGGATCGGCCGGTGCGAACATGTCCAGGGATTTGGGGAGTCTCGGTTTCACCCCCGTGGGAGGATGGAATTTTCGGGATCCACTTTGGTTTTGCAGACTAAACACACAAAATATGTGACAAAGTGTTACTTTACTATTGCTGTAATCGTAGTGAGAGCTGCATCAGTGCAATAGCTGTGAAGTATTATGTGAATTAGGCTTAATCTATCGATCTATATCTATTTCGTCAGACTTCGTAGACGTTTATGCCGATGGCGTTGCTTATCGCATCTCTTTTAATAATGCGTCGCAAATGAGCAGTAGGCCCCTTCATCTCCATTGTTATCGAAGAGATGTCTGGCCGGAGCCAAGTGCTCGAGCACCATACCCCCGACCTTGCATGGAACAAGCATGCGAGGTCCCTCGTCTCTAATGAGTGCAGCATGCGGGGGTCGGGGTGCGGGCTGATCCCTTCGTCCAGCCGCGTCCAGTAGCACTTCATAAGCTGCTGCACTGTTGTAGGCCCAGTACTGACTATCACCCTGGCAGTACCTTTCACCGTGGCCATACGTGTTCGGCGGAGACATCTGTCGAATTTCCGGTACGCGGGCGGTCGATATCCTGGTCGATTCGGGTGGTTACCGCGATGCCCTGCAGCTCAACGTCGGAACTTCTTCGACTCTCATCGGCAGCGATATGAGCGTTCTTGGAGGCCATGGAGCTCAACGGATCGTTGATCTGGCGAAATCCATCGTTGTTGTGGGTGGTGCCGTTGGGAAAGTATAGCTTCGTGCCGGATGACGGGTGGGAACGGGCTTTGGAGACTCCGCTTCGCACTTTGCCGAGGAAGCCCTGAATCAGCGGCTTCATGAGAGGCAGACAGCCACAAATGATAGCTACATCGAGTTCGAGACAAGTCCAGACAGATTCTTTGGCACTCGAGGCTGAGTTTAGTTAGTCGAGAACGCCAACAGCGTTCCACGGGGAGGTAACTCACAAGCCAGGTCGGTAGTGACGAAGTTACGGAACTCAATCAGACGCATCAGACTGAATATACAGACCCTGTTCAGTTGTCAGCACCGGAGTCGCAGGCATGCAACAAAATAACATACAGTCCACCCAAGGAGAACACGAGCGTCACGGCAATTTTCTGACGAAAGGTGATCTGTAGCCCCCAAACGATAGGTGTGGGTAGACACAGCACAATGACATCCTCAACCAAAGAAATCGATCCCATCGCCTGGAAGAAGGCTCGCTGACCGCTCATGCAATGCCCGTTAAGATCCTTGTCGTAGTAGTATTGAACTGGAGTGCACTGAAATATATTGACCAGCAGCGCCGTGACGGCCCAACAGGCAATAAAGCCAATCAGGATATTCGAGATAATTGCATACGCGCGCACCGTTCCCAGTAGACGCTTCAGGAACACGACGATCGATATCTTCACAAACGCAGCGGACGGCGCCCAAAACTTCTGAATCATCCATGAACCCTGTATCAAATTCGTGCATATGTTAGTGGGTGCCATCGCAAACCAAGTGCGCCCATCAAGAACATACAAATTGAATACGTTGCCGTTCGTTGGCCGGCAGAGAGCTAACTGGTAAACCCACGCCATTGAATGCGGCTATATGTGTAGCACGAATCAGTATTCCCTCGGTCGGCCAGCTATGCATAAGAAGTGCGAGCAACTTACTGTCCACAACAAAGGCGGTTGCGCAGTAGGAAAGAATCAAGCCCACGCCCATCAACCAGTCCTCTACTTTCAGACCGGCGGTGGTGAAGCGCCGCGAATATAGTCGCAGGACATACGAAACGGTGGCCAGGGCAGCACCAATGATGGGTACGATGGTCAGGACATTCTTCCAGTACCGATTCTCTTCGTAAGTCATCCTGCACGGCCGGCGATACGAGTCAGCGATGCAGGGAGCAGCGACCAGGCGGGTCAGGCGATTCCATATAAGTTTCCCATCTCAGGGAGGGGGGGAAGAGAGGGGACTTGTGGTCTTTTGTGGTTCTGTGCAAGAAGGATCCGATTTAATGAATAATATTACGAAAGGGCTGTCGTCGCCACCAGAACCTAAAGGGCAAGGGGATGCGATTCTTTAACTCAGACTCAGCCCGGTCGGAGTTACGATAAAGATTGGGAAGGCGTCCGCTAATTTGTGCAAGACTATTTGAGGGGGATGCAGGATTCATTGGCTTTTCATTTCCACGGCTCGGCGAATTTTTAACTTTTTTAACTTTGTCCGCCGCTAGATTGCCCAGCCAGGACTGAGACCAGAATAGAGTGACACTGAGTAAGCGGCGATAACTGATCGAGGTGGCTTGTCTGCGACCGTGGTTCAGAGGTCGATCTTTCTGTCCGCCGTGTTCAATGCGCTGTGCGTCCCGCTGGAACTGGTCCGTACCACTGCGATCATCAGCGTATATCTGGTGGTGATAAAAACCCCAGCAATCCATCAGCTGGGATTCTGGGGGGCTGAGGGGAGACATAGCAAGGATCATCGGTGGTGTGTGGATAAATTCCTTCGCGTGGTCTATGCCGGCATGCCGTGTGATGGGCTTCAGGGGTCTTCCTGCAGGATTTTGGTTACCGAGCGAAGAAAACCCGAGAGACAACGTGGTGCAATCAATTTGAGACGCTGGTCTCAGATGGTGTCCACATGGTCCGATTGTGCAGGTACACAATGGTAGTAGTGGTCTAATCCTTTTAGTATAATACGGAGTACTCCGTGGTTATCGAGCGTAGGCTGAAGAAGGCAGCCACGATCTATTGTGTGAGGGCAAACGTGGTGGTGTGCATTCAAGGAAAAGCTTCGGACGTCGACCGAAACCTAACTCCACTTACCAACAAGCCCCAACGGGGACCTGCGTCAAGATTCCACCCCTTGAACATTTATGATTGGTGGCACTACATAGTTTATACCAACCATAATGGAGCAAAGGGTCCACTTACACCTCCATGCAGCTTCCTTCACAGCTACGGTCCCGGTTGCGGCGTATGTCGCCCAACTGCCGCATCTCGCACTCTCCAGCTACCAAGCAATTTCTCCTCCACAACCCACAACCTTTGCCCACCCAGTATTCAATAGCTTTGAATCGTATGAATCGTATGAGACACACTGAATTGGTCCGTTCATTCCGTTTTTCCCGAAGGTAAGAAAAATTCTCCTGAACGTTGGCCCCGACCGTTCATTCAAATGGTCGCGATCGTCGCTGTTTCCCCGTTCCCTTCCGCCGAGTTTGTCTCACAGTCGCGTGGCAGCCCTGAAGAATGACGCCTTCGCCTTCCAAGACCTCGTTGGCCCTTCTGGCCGTCCAATTTCTTGGACTGGGCTCCGCTTGTGGTTGCTCATGTACTCTGGATAGCCTCAACACTACCCTCCAGGGTCGTGTGCAGCCCTTGACTCCTTTCTCCCTCCCTTGCTTCTCCAACTACAACGGCCAGTCCGTCGCCCCCAACGATGCCGCCTGTGCCAACATTCAGGACAACTACACCGACCCTTACCTCCGCACTAACTCTCCCAATGGTTACATGAACAACCAGGATGAGATGTGCTCGTCCAACCCCGAGGATCAATGTCTGCTCGATAGCAGCGACCCCACCGATCCCCTGGCTTTTGTCAACCAGACCTGCCGTCAGGGTAACATGCCCTCCTACTACATTGAGGTCAAGGATGACTCCGATGTCCGCCACGCTCTGCACTTCTCCAACTGCTCTGGCACCCGTCTGTCCATCAAGAACAGTGGTCATGACTACCTGACCCGCAGCAGCGGCAAGGGCACCTTGGCCCTGTGGACTCGCAAGCTGCAGAACCTCAGCTACAGCCCCGCCTTTGTCCCCGATGGCTGCCAGGCCTCCTACAACGCCATCACTGCCGGTGCTGGTGTTAACTTCGATGAAGCCTACGAGTTCGCTCACCAGAACAACGTCACTATCCTCGGTGGTTACTCCCCCACCGTCGGTCTCTCTGGCGGTTGGGTCATGAACGGTGGCCACTCGGTCCTCTCCCCCGTCTATGGTCTTGGTGTCGACCGTGTCGTCCAGTTCAAGGTTGTCACCCCGGATGGCGAGCTGCGCATCGCCAACGAGTGCCAGAACCAGGACCTCTTCTGGGCCCTGCGTGGTGGCGGTGGTGGTACCTTTGGTGTTGTCCTGGAGAGCACTCACCGCGTCGAGCCCACCGTCAGCTTCGTCGCCGCCATCATCAAGTTCACCAGCAACTCCACCAACGTCCTCCCCTTCATGGAAATCGTTGTCAACAACACCCTGAAGTGGGCCAAGGAAGGCTGGGGTGGTCACGTCACTGGCGACACCCTCGTCAACGTGTCCCCTCTGCTCTCCGTCGCTGAAGCCAATGCCTCCATGGCCGAGGTTGCCGCCTACGCCAAGGCTCAGGGTGGTTCCGCCGTCATCGAGGCCTTCTCTTCCTGGTACGACTTCTACGAGAAGTACGTCACCTCCAGCTCCGTCAGCGTTGGTGTCACCCACTTCGCTGGCAGTCGCCTGGTCCCTACCGACGTCTTCGAGACCGCCGAGGGTCGCTCCAACCTGATGGACTTCTTCGAGCTCATCCTCGCCAACGGCCAAACCCCTTACATCCCCGTCGTCGCCCCTGTCCTGTACAACTACACTGAGGGCTCCACCAGTGCCTCCCCCGCCTGGCGCAAGTCCGTCTGGGAGCTGGGTTCCGGCAGCAGCTGGGCCTGGAACAGCACCCTGCAGACCCGCGAGCAAAAGATTGCCACTCTGCAGAACATGACTGCTACCCTGGAGCGCATCACCCCGGGCAGTGGTGCTTACAGCAACGAGGCCAACGCCTTCACTGTCGACTGGCAGGAGGCCTGGTGGGGAGACAACTATGAGAAGCTCCTCTCCATCAAGAAAAAGTATGACCCTACTGGTCTGCTGAGCTGCTGGAAGTGTGTCGGCTGGGAGGATTCCCAGGCCAACAGCACTTGCTTTGCTGCTTTTTCTTGAGCCACTGACTATTAGTCCGGTCGGTCTTAAGTTGTAAATATCTTCAACCCCACTGATAGTGGGAAGACGCGATAGATTTCGTTCTTGTTCAACGACTTGATTTGTATATTATGTCAAGCATTAGATGACTGTATACGTTTTAATGATTGAAGACATTCACATGTTTCCAATAGATAATTCTATCTTGCATAGTGTCCAGGTTTACCGGGGTCCTTCGTACATTTTTTGTAGTCATACCGAATGCGACAAGCACTTCCTCTTGTGTTCTCCACTTCACCGCTGGTTTCGGCGTATACTACCTTTTTTTCTTCCCAATGAAACCAAACACACAGAAAGCATTGATAAGAGGCTTCCAAATGGTTCACATATTTTACCTGAGACTGAGCCAGCAAAGGTAAAACGCAAATGTACGATATAGGTTATTGTCTGTGGTTTGAAGCTCATGGGTCGGATGGGGATCACGGAATATATTTTGGCATCCACTTGGAACGGCACAGCGAAGGGGGGGTGGGGGGTTTTTACCACATTCACTTTAAGTGGTTAGTACACAAAGTATACTGCGAATTCAGACGTATGTAGACGATTGATGGATACTCTAAATTGATCCATCATAGAACTCATCTACGCCATGGCTTCTATAGTGGAAATGCTAAAGACCCCGCAACCCTTAGGCCCTGGCTGTGAAACAGGTGGCCGACCGGGCCAGCGCCAAGAACAATATAGGGATGAAGGGCCACATTCTTCAGCACCATAGCATTGCTGCAGACCAGGTTTCCAACGCAGTAGGACTCTTCCCAGGTTTTTGCTCTTCGTCGCGGATATGAGTTGGAGACAAGAGAAGAGAAAGAGAATCCGAGTTAGGGCAACCAGTGAGTTAGACATGAATCCACTAGGCAAAATAGAATGTTACCACGTCTTCACAAACTGTAAGACTGTTTCTATAGCAAGCTCCTACGGAAATAGATGACGACGTTGTTATACTGATGGTAAAGACGCGGATAGCATAATGTAATGTTCAATGCGACAATAACATGACAGTCTCCCTGATACCCCCTCGTTCAAGCCTAGCTAATGACGAAGTTGGTGACGAGATATATTCAATCAGGACCAACCCCGAGGCAGCTTACTCCGACTCGCAGCAACCCCAGCTAAGGAAGTAATCGTCGCGCGACCAATAATATCAAACGTAGCAACTTCTGCCTGGAGCTCCTTGGCGAACCAATTCCGTAGTTCCACAGCCACCAAAGAGTCAACCCCATACTGATGCAAAGCCTTATGCTCATTCAGATTGTCTTCTTCAACGGACAATGTCCGTGCCAGCTTTGTGGTCAAGGCCTTTATAACCGCGGCGGTTGCGTCAGCCAATGATTCGGCCCCTCGGAATGCAGCTGAAAGATCAATAGACTGGCCCTGGCGCTCACGCTGTCCTTCCGATAGCCGCTGCTGAGCTATATACCGAAACATGGGCTTTCCAACCCAGTAGGCCTTGAGGGCTGCACCTTCATCTTGCGAACGCATTCCGAACGATACTTGACAAGGTAGCCCCTTCTCCTTGCAGACAACTGGGTTGCAGTATACGTCAAGAAGTGCGTGGAATTCAGCTTCCGTGATAGGCTTGTGTGGAAGGATGCTTAGCATGATCTTGAGGAGTTTTGGGTCACGGGCGACTCGTCCAGCGAAAGTGAAGAGCCCGAGGTCAAGCGTTGCGGCGTTCTCTCCACATTTTTTGCGGTGATGGGCCAGCGCATCCTGGAATGTGTTCCCGGCGGCATAGTTTGCCTGGCCTATATGCCCAACTACCCCGTTCATCGAGGCGAGCATGAGGAAAAAGTCAAGTCCACGCGGGAGAAGCTTGTGGAGGTTCCAGGACCCTTGTGCTTTGGGCTTGACGGCCGCTTGCCAATCATCGTGGCTCATACTCTCGAACCCAACATCCTAATTGAATGCATTAGCCACACCCTTGCGAGTCACTACATTCCATCCCTCTTTGTTTACTTACTTGCAATACCATAGCGGCTTGTATACAACCTCTGATGGGAGGCATATGATGCGCCGCGTCGGTCAGCGCTGTGCTTAATTCGCCCTCCTCCGCAACGTCGCACGCATATACTTGAACGTTAAGCCCACCTGCTTTCAGTTGATCAAGATATTTGCGAGACTCGGCGTCTTTGCCTCCTGAGCGAGACAAAATGAGAATATTCCGAGCGCCTCGGCTAACCAACCAATTGATCATACTTTGGCCTAAGCCGCCCAAACCACCAGCAATCAGATAGGTGGCATTAGACGCGAAGGAGGTGTTTGGTCTTGACTTTTTCACGGTCTGTGGGCAACATCTGTTAGTTGGACCTGCCAAAAGGGGTAAGGTAGAGCACGCGTACCTTGACGATATCGGCGTGTCGCATTTCGATCACTATCTTACCAAGGTTTTTCCCGGACTGCATATGTCGGTATGCCTTTTCCAGTTCACCAACACCGTATACAAGCGTTGGTTCCTGGGGATGAAGTTTTCCCTCACCCATTAGGCGCATTACGGCCTCCAGTGCAGCGCGGACGTGCAATTGGCGATCCCGCAGCACCAGGGACAAGTCAAAAAACCTATAGGTGACGTTGTTTCGGAATTGTGCCATGGGTAGCTTAGCATTTTGCAGAATATCTTTCAGTCCTAGCTCAACGAACCGGCCGTACGGCGCAGTGCACTCCCACGATCTTATTAAATTCTCGCCTGACAGAGAGTTCACCACCACGTCGACACCTTTTCCGTTGGTCATGTGCATGATCGCGGGTGCAAAATTAGTTGATCGACTAGAAAAAATGTGGTCTTCGGGGATGGGGTATTTTTGCATAATAAACCTCTTTTTCTCTTCCGTTCCAACGGTGGTATATACTTCTGCCCCACAGTGTACTGCCAGTTGAATGAGAGCTTGCCCTGTACCACCAGCCCCAGAGTGAATCAAGACTGACTCCCCAGGTTGAATGCGAGCCACATCTTTGAGTGAGTACCAGGCTGTCAAAAAGTTTGTTGCGATTCCCGAGGCTGCGGCCAAATCCATCCCAGATGGGATGTGAACCATTGGTGTGGGTGTGTCCTCCGGAAATCTGGTTCGGGCCTGGAAAGATGCAGGCGCAATCCCAGCGATTCGATCACCTGGCTTGAACTTCGTACATTTGCTTCCAACCTTGGTGACTACCCCAGCACATTCCTTCCAAGCCACTGCGTTGGGTATCTGGCCTAATGATGTGAGGACGTCGCGGAAATTCAATCCGCACGCGTGAATTTCAAGCTCAACATCCATGTCACCCAAGCAGTCGATCGACTCTGCCTCTATGAATCGAAAGCCTTCGGAAATGTTTGAGTGTGACGAGTCCAAGTGCAATTCAGCCTGTCCGAATCGTTGCTCACACTCTATTTCGCCTGCTGTTTGCATTGAAACTGCCTGTTCAAGGGGCGCGCAGTCGAAGACCCGCGGATTTAGGAATCTTCCGTCTCGCACGACATACTCCGTGTCCAGTCCCTGTAGGGGTGGCTGCAGGATATTCTGGATCATGACTGCGATCGATGCTTGCCTTGTAGATCCTTCAAGGGACAATATATAACGATGCTGCTTCCCGTCCTCTTGGGACAAGACACGAAATAAGCCGTCAATGAGATGGAGCTTTGGATCAGGCGCAGGGAGCTCAGTCGATGCTGTTACCCAAACTGTAGTTGTAGAGGTGGTAAGGAGGCTCCGGAGCTTTTCGTAGACAGCTGACCCCATGCTATATAACAACGGCTTCTCGAAGTCAAGAATGAAAACCCGAAGAACATCTTCGGTGTCTACAGACACGCTTTGCAAAGGTAAACAACACACACTAGATTCAGTGAATGACTGGCATTTGTCCTCAAGAAAGCTGGCGAGCGCCTGCTGCTTAGGCTCACTTGGTTCGTACACTATCTCGATGCCAGGATTCCAGGCACTAGGTGGAATGTCCTGCACCGCGGTAGAGACCAGGACCGCATGCTCATGGACTGTTTTTTCGTCGAAGTCTGGGAAGTACACATCACAGCCGGAGAATCCTGTTCGCTGAAATAGATCATGCCAGCCGTCTCGGTCAACGCAAGGTCCGTGAACACGGTAGGATTCAGAGCCTGACCACCTAATCAGCACGGCCTATCTATGACCGGCCAAGACAAGCAATCAGAACAGCTGGTATAGTAAACTTACTGAGCCACCATCCTTCAAGCAGTCCGAATGCTGCCGCAGTGTGGAAGGGGTTTGTCACCTCGGCGAGGACGAGTTTCCCACCACTGTTTCACTTTTATTAGTGCTGGACACAGTGAATGGATAACGGGAAGGATGAACTGACGGCTTCAATAGCTTACGGATATTGGTCAAGCTTCGTTCCAAACTTGCAGTCGCATGGACAATCTGTGAGGCATTGTGTAAGTCAAGACGCACAATTAGGGTCGAGGTGAAGTGACCCACCCATGCAGCTACGACCATATCATACCCACCCGCTTCGAAGCCTTGTTGTTCTGGATCTGTGTCAATATCTAACCTTTCAAACTGCATTCGAGACCCCTCGTGTGCGAATTCACTGGCCGCCTTCCCGAAGAAGGAGCGGGAGATATCTGTGTAAACCCATCGGGCAAACCTCGAGCCAGGGTTGTGCTCAGAAGCCCCCAAAGCTTTAAGACACGCTCGAGTAGCCACTCCAGTCCCAGCACCTATCTCTATGATGTTCATTGCAGGATTCGTATGAGCAATGAGATCCATGTACTCTGGAAGGGCTTTCGCGAAGCTAGTCTGAGCCACCTGGCCACAGTCAAAGTCAGCAAATTTCGGTGCACAGCGGAATGTGGTTGGCCTTACTGCGGCTTCATAAAATTCGTCAACCATGTTGCCCGTGAAGAAAAACTCCAAGGGATCCTGGCTACCGGTCAGGAAATCTAATAGGTTGCGGCCAGTGTTTATGAGAAGCTTGGAGAACGGCGCCTCCGCCAGCAGACGCCCCTCCACGTCATGGATGTACTTCCAATCCACCAGTCGGCTTCTCCAGGGCTCAGACGAGTAGGGCAACTCTCCATGCTCCAGGCGACGCTTTTGCAGAGCAGCCCACTGGATATACTTTTGTAAGTGTGGTTTCGCCGGCTGGCACTTTTGTTCCGAGAACACCCGCAAACCCTCCAGTACACGGGCAAGAACCACAAAATTGAGGTCGGTCATCGTTTCTTTGGAACCTGCAGGAGAGGCATTCCTACGGCAATACTGTTCAATTTCGGTATCGCCTAGAAGCCGAATATCCGGTTTCCATACAATTTGCGAGCAAAGTGACCCGCCCGCAGAGGCCTCCTCGCGATTGGACAATACTCCGCCGACCGCTGTACATTTCAGTCCTTCCACAATAACCACAGGTTGCTGGAGATGAGGCCCAAATGCAGTGATTGACCCGAAGACATCTGTCGTAGAATCAAAGGTCCCCCGCGCCAGGACTTTGAATGACTCTGATGACATGGGTAGGCCATCCCTGAGTACTCGTAGCCGTTTGATATGTGTCGGAACATAGGTGGGCATAGCCTTAGTTTCGCAGGCTGTTCTAGCACAGAGTAGCATTTGAAACATGGCGTCTAGAGCCGTAGGGTGAAGGGTCGATTCAGGTGTGATTAGGCGATGATGGATGTCACCCACAACCGTACTAGCATCATGTGGACTAAGAGAGAGAGCAGTGATTCCCTGGAAGCTTTCGCCATAAGAGTACCCGCACTGCTTCAATTTGTCATAAATGGATTTGATATCCGTATGTGTACCACAGTCCTGCTGTGCTTGTAGAAGAGAATCTCGATAATGCGTGTCGATCATGCCGACCTGGTCGTTAGTAACAGGGTCGGCCTCCTGCGGTTCATATATGATACGTATGGACCCAGTGCAATTTGTCGTCCAGGATGAGCCGAGGGCAGAATCAAGGCGAAAGTTGAAGAAGTCCGAGTCTTTTCCCTTCAAGCTACTCACCGGGTTCATTGAAAAGCTAGCTTCCACATCACCGTGTTCTGGGACACGAATAGCTGCATGCAAATTTGTATCTAGAACGTCTAAAGCTAGAACATGACGTTCATCACGGCACATTTGCTTCCCGGCTTCTACTGCCATCAAAATCATGCCTGCCCCGGGATACAAGATTGTACCTTGAATCTATTACAACTCCTTCGTTAATTGGTGGCTTCGAATGTTCACAAGGAGGAAAGAGGGGGTACAAAAAAGAAAAGAAGGAGGGTCAATAAGAAGAAGAAAGGGAGAATAAAGAAATATAGAAAATGAAGAATAAGTAACTCATACCTGGTGGTCCTGAATCCAGGGAATGGTGGATGCCCGGATGATGTGTCTCCAGCGGGGTTGATGGGGATTCCAGTAGGGATCCTGTGTGCCAAGAAGCTCGTGCTTGCCAAACCGGGGCAGACGGATGTTGCGACTAATTTGACTCTCGAACCAGTAGGACTTACTATGATTGAATGAGTATTTAGGCAGATTCTTCAGGCAGGGCAGATTTTTAGCTTCATAGCGAAATTCCTGGTTTGCAGCTGCCAAATCAACGGTATAACAAGCAGCCCAGAGATACCCCACAGCGTCTAATAGGGTTGAAGTAGCCGATACGTTTCGCTGAAGCAGAGACAGATAGTGTACCGAAGTACGCTTCATGTCTGCAAGTATCGACTTCGTAGGCCCCTGTAGTACCGAGTGTGGTCCAATCTCCACCACGTGATGAATTTCCAGAGACTTGTAATGGCTGCCGTCCAGCTTCTCCGGAGGTGAAGCCGTGGAACTACACGCCACAGCCAAAGCTTCGGAGAAACGCACTGGCGATACCAAATTTCGTGCCCAGTAGTGTGGTGTACGCAACACATCAGGTGTGATCCAGTCGGCCGTGACCGTGGACACCATGCAGGGGCGATGACCGTGCACAACATCCAACTCGTCATTCATCTCACCAATAGCAGACTCATAGTGGGATGCAATCTCATGCATTTGGAAGGAGTGGTAGGCTACCTTGACTTTCAGTCTCCTGCAGAATATTTGATCGGCTTCCAGGAGTGACTTCAGGTCCTGGATCTGCGCTTCGTCTCCAGAGACCGTAATGCTATTAGGGCTGTTGATACAGGCGACCGTGAGCCGAAGGAGAGCATGATCTTGACTGACCGTATTCAGGTATGCCAGTATGTCCTTTTGGCTCAGCGCAACAGCAAGCATGGATCCGCGAACGAAGCTGTGTGTCTCAAGCTTACTGCTCCAGAGCCCTCGGTAGAAAGCAATCCTCCATGCTTCACGGCGGGAAATTGCATGTGTAGAGTACCTGTGGTGAGCATTAGCAGATTTTCTGATGGAACTAAGGCTATTGGGGACTGTACGCAGCAGCGATTTCGCCTGATGAATGACCCACTACCTTCTTGGGAGTGATTCCAAATTGTTTAAGGAGGTCAACCAGGGCAATCTGCAATGCCGTGCATAGAGTTTGACTGCGGTCAGTTAGGTTGACAGAAGATTCGGACTCGCTCATTTGAAGGGCATCTAACATATATAAGTTTCAATTAATGCGGGCCTTTTCCAGAATGTCATGCATACCTAGCAGATCCCACTGGCATCCGAGGGTTTGGAGGTAGGCGTTCGCCTCGTGCATGCTGTTGAAGAAGGTTGGATATGCGTCCAAAAGCTCCCTTCCCATTGCATACCATTGAGCGCCTTGCTATATGACACATTGAAGTTAGAGCTACCCTCGTCGAAATGATTTAGGTGATTACTGACCCCGGAGAATATGTAAGCAAGGTTTGGTGATGTGATGCACTGTCCTGGACACACCATTCTACCTGGAATGGTAGTCCAGTCGGAATCAGGCTCAGCAACAGCGTACGCCCGCCATTCAAGCCACGACCTCCTGCTCGACAGGGTGTGTGACAAACAGTCCAGGTAGTGGGAGCGTTCCTTCGAGGTGGTCTGGATATCAGCGAAGAAGGGCTCCCAGGTATCCTGAATACGTGTGATGCCATCTTTATCGGAGGCTGACCAAACTAGTAGCCTTGCGGCACTGGAAGGCTTTCTCTCTTTACAGCCAGACTTGTTTGAGTGGGTTCTCGCCTGACTTGGCGCATTGTCTAAGACGACGTGCACGTTGGTGCCTCCAAAGCCAAAAGAGCTAACAGATGCCCTCCGTACGCCTGTGATAGGCCACGGGATAGCCTTTCTAGGAACCTAGGCCAGTTAGGACGGGTTGCATGGGAGTATCTACCGCATTCCAAACCTTGATGTGCAAGAATTCTTCATCAATTCGCGGATTTAGAGTCTGGAGGTCTGTGTTTGGTGGTATAATACCCTTTTCAACTGCCAAAATGGCCTTGATAACTCCGGCAACCCCGCTTGCACCTTCCAGATGGCCGATAGTCGATTTAACGGATCCTCTTATTATAGTTAGTATTCCGTTCCGTAATAGCTTGTGAGAGGAAACTCACAGGTACACTGGGTCATCAGAGCTGCGATAAGCACGAAAGGTGTTGCCTATGGCTCGAGCTTCAATGGGATCACCGACAGCAGTACCTTAGTCATTTACATTAGTAAACAATGGACCTGTTAGCGATGTGAAGCAGTTGAATTAACCCATACCGGTTCCATGGCCCTCTACATAACGGGTGACATCTAAGCCCAGGCCAGCCTTCTGATAGGTTTCGCGGTATAGTTCTTCTTGTCTTTCCATACTTGGCTGCGTAATGGCTGGCGTCTTTCCGTCTTGATTGGACCCAGTTGAACGTATGACGGCCCTGATACTATCACCGTTTTCAATTGCGTCACGTAGTGGGCGGACTATCAGAGCACCTGCTCCTTCTCCGCGACCGTATCCGTTACCTCGTTCATCAAAGCTGAATGACCGGCCATCCTTGGATAGAATGCCAAGATTGTCCATAGCTAAGACAGTATCCAGTCCAAGAATAGCATTGAATCCCATTGCCATTCCCTAATCCAACGTTAGTATATAAACGAGAAGTCGTGCTTACATGATTGAGCTGTCTTCATACCATAGAGGATTCCCCATTCCAGATGGACTGGCAGGCAAGGTGCAGCGCCATCAAGCTACTTGAACATGCAGTATCAACATGTGAGCTGGGTCCTTTGAGGTCATAAAACCAACTGATGCGGTTTGGCAACATATTTGCACCTGTTCCCGTGGCATGGCCTTTCGGTATAGTCATCAGATCTTTTGCCTGGAGACGCTGATAGTCGTGACCGAAAGTGCCGGTATACACGGCCATCTTGGAGCCGGAGACGGATTCTATAGAATATCCTGCATCTTCCAGGGCGTGGTATGCCGTCTCGAGGGCTAATCGATGCTGTGGGTCCATCGCCTCGGCCTCCGCCGCAGAGATCGAGAAAAACCCGGCGTCAAACCGGCTTATATCACCCTCCATGAAATAGGCTTGTCTTTGAGACAGTCTGTCTGTTTGGGCATAGTCTGGATGGAACCAGGCGTCAATGTTATATCGATATGAAGGGATATCTTTTGCAGCGGCCCTGCCACTGAGGATCAGATTCCAGAAGCTTTCAGGAGAGACGGCCTCCCCGGGGAAGCGGAGAGCGATCCCAACGACCGCCAAGGGTTCCAAGTGTTGTCCTGTCATTCTCTTTGCAGAACTATGCGTGAAAGGAAGAATAGATTGGTCTATCGCTCACTTCAGCCAGTATCTTCTTCTGGTAATGCTAAGGGTCAAACCAACGTGGGAAACACATATTTATAGACCATACACACACCATACGAGTGTGATTACTGAGTCAGTCTTTCCACTTTGTTGCAAGACGTCAGTACTGGCGATGTGACTATGCAAAATTCCCTCATTCTTGCAAAACTTTGTTCCAAATCAGACAAATCTTCAATCGTACGTCTTTACTACACTTGTCGTCGGTTGATAACAACAACACCATTAATCGTGCCAAAGACATCCTCGTTTTGTTCTCATGCATAGAGAATACGTTGCACAGAAATTCCGTATGACAGTGGGGCTACTGCGACTGCAAGGGATGAACCTATGTCGAAGTCACTTTCTTAAGTTGTTGATATGCAGTATCACCCAATCTACTAACGCAATGGGTTACAGTGGCCTTAAGACTGACCTCCTACGAAGCATTAAATGACCTTTCCTCGTAGCAATTAGTAGTTCAAAAAGTTATAAATAGCGCGGCACCAGTATAGCCTGCCCTTGGAGTTAGGAACCAAAGCATCGGACCTTCTTAGGCAGCTCTATAACATCCCAAAGAAGGGCCATTGTTTGAACACATCTACATCTGATATCAAGCAAAGATGCGATTCCTGTGGTACGTTTTACACTAGCTCGCTCCCCATAGCTCGTCGATCTTGACGCTAACATCGAAAAGTCTACACGGGAGTGGCGGAAACTCGCGGGTAGGAATACTGTTGAATCTTCTCCCATATTTCCGAGAAATCTAGTTTTGACTAACAATATCAAAGGCGTTTGAACAACAGACAGGTAAATGGGTCCTCTGGACGCGAAGAAATTTCAAGGGCATTGCTGATGGGCGTTATTTTTCAAAGCCACACTACGCTATGAACTAGGAGAGAGACACACCTTTGAGTTTGTCGAGGGTACCATTCCATGGGATGCTTGTAAGATTACCAGAACAACCCAGTACTGTGTTGAAATGAGATACTGAACTTATCAGCCTCAGAGTCTACCAGGGAAGCAGGAGAGACAACCTTTTCTTACTGCGACCCACATCAGCCTCAATCGTGCCTGCAGGCCCTGCACGATCTCGAAAACTACCTCCGTATCAAGGGTCCTTATGATGGAGTGATAGCATTCAGTCTGGGCACCAGCATAGTCATGACCCTACTCGTTGATCATGCACGTAAAGAAAAGATCGGGCCACCTCCATTCAAAGTAGCTGTCCTATTTTCCAACGTTGGACAGCCCTGTAACATGGACTCGCTCCGCCTTGGTCGCATCGAGCCCTTGCAAGTCCAGCCTACAATCACCATTCCGACGGCACACATATGGGGTGCAGCGGACTCCTGGAGTGACCAGGCTTCTTTGGCTCCTCAATACTGCAGAAAGGAGAATCAATCGATCTTCGTGCATGATGGAGGCCACGAGATTCCAACAGCGGCAAGGGATGTTGTGAAGATGGCAAACGTAATCCAACGTGCAATTGGCCGGGTGTGAATCATCTCTGCATCAGGAAGTCACTACATAGTTTCAATTGAGGATCTATGTCACTCATGCACAATCCCTTATCTAAATTGTGATGGTGACATTTTTCAGAGATACTGTAAATCTGATACTGAGTAAATGATGATAATTAGCGGTGACGTCGTGATGTCCGTTATTTCTCACGGACAAAGCAACACGCGTAATATTTTTCTACGTCACCAACTTGAGGTTAGTTATGCATACACCGACGTACTACCTCCTGGCCGCTTCATGCGCACGACTCTATCGGGTTGTACCTACAAATTCTTGATTCTGCAAATGAGAAATCATGTCCAGATCACTGCAAGGAGCATTCTCCGTGTTACCTGTTGCAAATTCCTCGCCCCCGGGCGGGTGACACGAGAAACTTGAACAAAAAGGATCGACCTCATAATACGTACCCCTTCCTTCAAGAGCCCCCGTATCCTGATTCGAATCCCTAACACGGAGCTCCATGGTCAATTATTTGCGTCCATCAAGGTCCACTCGGCTGAAAAATTAGATACGATAGTTGCGATGGGGCGAGACGAAGCTACGGACTCTAGCGACTCTAGTGATCACGACTGGGATGGTGGACTGGAAGGAGCTCGCCTCTACCTTGGGGCCGCTGGGTAGGATGTCACTTGCAACAGTACAAGTTAGTAGCTAACTCATTTGTGTCCTGGGAAGGCTCTACGTGGCTCTATTTCTGACGGGACTCGAGACAACAATCGTGGGCACCACGCTTGTTGCCATCACAGATGACCTACAAGGTTTTGGAAAAAGCAGCTGGATCATCACATCCTACCTTCTAACATATGCTGGTAAGAAATATCACTCCAGCATCAATACTCGCACTCACAGCATCCCGAAGGCTTTCTCATGCTTTGGTCTAAAGCTGGTGATATCTGGGGATTGCGGCCTACGTTGCTGACTTCTCTCGCCCTCTTCACCGCATTTTCTGGCGGTTGTGGTGGCGCGCAGAGCCTGTCCCAACTGTAATACACATTTTGCCTGGTTTTTCTTCTTTCCGTTTGCTAATCCTCCTATAGGATCATTTGCCGGGCCTTCCAAGGCATAGGCGCAGCCGGGATATACGGTTTGGTCCTATTCTCCCTGATACGCATGGTTCCCAAAAGCCAATATGCCACCGTCACCAGCGTGTCCGGGGTTGTGGCATCGTTGGGATTGCTCATGGGCCCCTTGTTCGGAGGCGCAATCACGCAGCACGGGGGCTGGCGCTGGGTTTTTCTCCTAAAGTACGAAATGATTAGGCAAACCTTTGATAAGCTGACCTGGCTTTTGCTGACGGTTGATCTGCAGTGTTCCAGCCGGTGCCTTGTCCTGGGGACTGATCTGTTTTGCACTGCCGTCAGGGTTCCCGATCCCACCGGGTACTGAAAGTCCAGCACTAGGGCCTTCCTCATTCTGGACCCGACAAAGTGTATTAGTTCGCCAGATTGATTTTATTGGGGCTATTCTGGTCCTTGGTGCATCCGTCTTCATGGTTGCCGCCTTACAAGAAGGAAACTATGATTTTGGCTGGGGTTCCAGCGCGGTAATCACTTTCTTCGTGCTTTCGGGACTCTCCTTCCCACTTTTCCTATGGTGGCAGTGGTTTCTCAGTAAACGGAATTCCGCCACCCAGCCAATTTTGCCTTGGCGACTGCTTGTCAATCGCCTTTTCCTGGGAACTATCCTGTACGTCAATCCCACTTTGTCACGCTGAACAGATTATGTGGGTTTCTAATAAGAGAATATTCACTCTCAGTGGGTCTTTGACCACAGGCGCCACCCTGACAGTAAGCGTTGTTGTGATCCCACAGCGGTTCCAGGTTGTGAATAGCAGCTCACCTCTCGGAGCTGGGGTGAAACTTCTAGCCTTCGCCGTCAGCGTCCCTGTCGGCATGATGCTCTGCTCTATCGTAACCGGCCGACTTCCAGTGCCCCTTGTTTACCTTGGAGTTGCCGGTATGTGTTTGCAAGTTGTCGGCTTTTTCCTCTACTCGAGCATACCACCTGAGACCCATCTCTGGCCTGGTCAGTTTGCCTATCTCGTCCTGGCGGGGCTGGGTACTGGTCTCGGGGTCGCTACCTTTTATCTTCTGCTGCCACTGATCGTGTCAATCCCGGACCAGTCCATTACGATAGGAACGGGATTCCAACTGCGCATGCTTGGCGGTGCTCTTGGGATCGCGGCGGCGACAGCCATTCTACACAGCTATACTCGAACTCATCTCGCATCATTTCTTCCCACAGATGAGGTAGATGCACTTTCCGTATCCAGCCAGATGATTGATACCCTGATCCCTGAGATGGGGGTAAGGGTGCGTGAGGTTTATGCCGAAGCGTACAGTGAGCAGATGAAGCTGGTCGGCGCGTTTTCGGCCGCCCAAATTTTCGCCCTGGGGCTGCTGTGGAAGCGGGAAAACGTGCGAATTCTCAAAAGATGAACACGGTGCTTGGGCTAGTTAAACTGGCATTAACTTGTGCAAGGAGCATGATTGAGTGAATGGATATTGCAGGACCGATTCTTCATCCCTTGCCAAACAACAAGGGATGTTCAGCCGGGCAACGGCGCCCCTCACTAATTCACACAGGTATCGGGACGTCGATCGTTTAATGTTTTAGGATACACTGGCATCTTCTTTGTTAGCAATGACTTGAGTTGTATAGTTACCCTAGCATGTAAGAAGTTCCTCGTTGTTAGTCCCATAGGGGCTTTTTGTTCTTGTTTTTCAGCTGAGCTGGCTTGACTCTCAATGAACCTTGCGTTTACTTTCCTGTTACAATACACGGAGATTTACTCCGATAAACTCGTCCAGTAAAGTTACATTCCGGCCTGCAAGTTCTGTACGACGGGAAAGCCCGAAAGTTTGTGAGTCGAGCAGTGTAATTGGCCCTTCAACTCCTTCCAGCAAGAGCAAGGATCATCTATCAGATGATCCATCCCATGATTGCTTCGGTTTGCTTAGAGTGACCGCGCCTGAGTATCGTCCACTCACCCTGCGATGCCACAACAAATACCTTTGTGGTTGGTATCTTTCCCCAAACCACAGGACTCTCTTCAGACTTGGATATCTTAGCAGTTCTGGCATCTACAGCATTAACAATGACCATCCATCCTTAGACACTTATCGAGTGCTTCGCTTCCTCCTAGAATGCTTATATCACCACAGAGACGATTGTAGAGCTATACCACCACTGGCCCAGTCACGACCGCGGAAGCCAAACTCAGAGGATTGGTGTCTAGCAGTGAAATAGCAAGGAAATGATTCTAATCAGCGCAGTCAAGACTGACTTAGTAAAGTGATGTTGCGGATGATGCTGATCATAAGTACACATTTGGGAGCCGGCTGTCGGACCAACGTAGGGCCGAATCTCTGTTTTACTCAAAAAACGATTTTAAAAATGTCTGAATAGTCTACCACGCTGGCCATTCGAATTACAAGTGTTGTTTACGGCTACTAGTACAGTTTGTGGCTTTGAGCCTAGGAGGGGGTAAAAATGACTCCAAGTTTCCTATGTTTCCTTCGAAGCGGTCCGACTAATAATATATATTCTCAAGTCCCTCTCTCCCTCGCTAGTCCACCTTCATAGTTGTGGCTCTTACTACAACTACTGGGCTAACCTACTTTTTGTCTACGATATATACTAGAGCGAACCCTTGAAAAGCCCGCAACCTCAAGTTCCTTCCAAGGTGAACGCGATTTACCTGATCCCTGCGATCGACACATAAATGCATTCAAACGTCAAACTTCTGCTTCTGTCCTATGTACAGCAATATTATCTACCGGATCAAAGCCCACGAATCAAATCGGCCGCCCGCTCCGCCATGGCGTAAGTAGTAGCCTGGATATTGCCAGCCGGCTCCAAGGGGAAGACACTGGCATCCACGACACGCAGGTTTCGGGTGCCGTGAACCTTCAGCTTGGAGTCCACCACACCGCCCATCTCGGCAGGCATCATAGCGCAAGATCCTGCCGGGTGAAAGCAAGTGAAAAGACGCTCCTTGACGATCTCCTTGGTCTTCTGGAGATCATTCAAGTCGATAGCCCGTTCGGGAAGTCGGGAACCGGGCTTCAAGAGACCCGAGAATGGCTCTGTGGCGGCGATCTGGTCGAGGTATTGGACGTGCCGGGCAAGAATTTCGATGTCAAGTGGGTGGGACAGGTAGTTGGGGTCGTAGATGGGCTTGTCGTCCGCATTGGCGGAGCGGATGTGCACGGAGCCGCGGGAGAAGGGGTGGTTATGCAGGACCAAGATGGTGATGTAGTTTCCAGGAAGGGTTTTGGCAAGGACGTCCGACATTGTGGTTTTGCCTGGGTTCATGTGCACTTGAATGGGGAGGAACATGTATTGTGCCGAGGCGTTGCGGCCCTCTTGGAGAAGCGCGCGTTGGAGAGCGTATTGCTGTTGCTGGGAAGATGACGCATCCTGCAAGTGCTGGTCGAGATGCTTGGTCAGGAGCTCTTCCACCTTCTCGCTTGATAATTGGCCGTCATGGTCCATCAGGGGAAGGTACGCCATGCTAATAGGCATTCCCGCAAGAGGACCGGAGTGCGTTTCCTCGTAGAGCTTGATCAGTGACTGCACAACATTGGGATCACGCGTAATATCTCCCGAGACTTGTCCATCCGCAACTTCGAAGCTGACAGCTGCTAGGCAGTGATCCTGGAGGTTTTCACCAACACCGGGCCGGTCAACGATGACGGGAATGTTGTGCTTCTCCAGAAGGTCGCGTTTTCCGATACCAGACAGTTCGAGAATCTGAGGCGAGTTGAGACTGCCTGCGCAAATGATCACCTCGCGATTTGCCACGATCTCGCGAATGTGTTCGCCTTTGGTCTTGACTTGCACACCGGTCGCAGTGGCGAGACCATCGGAATCCTTGGTCAATAAGACTCGCTCCACCATGGTCTCGACCAGCAGATCCAGGTTCAGTCGCTCTGCCACCTTCGGCGAGTAGTAGGCACCAGCGTAACCCCGACGGCCCGTGGCCCCATCGACAGACAAGGGAGAAGTGAATGCACCGATTTTGCGGCCCGAGATGGGATCCGCATCGGTTCGCCATCCCAGGTTGCCGAAGGTTTCATCCCAGGCCTGGTTGAAGGGACCATATACATTAGGCAAGGTGACAGGGACCGGGCCTTCTTTGCCTTGGTTCTCCTGCTTCATGTATTTATCCAGAGAGAGAAAAGCGGCAGTCTCCTCAGAAGGTGGAGTGTAGGTGTGGAACTTGCGCAGGTAAGGCGCCATGTCTTCAGGCCCCCAACCCTGGTTGCCGAGCGACTTCCATGCGGCGAAATTGGCCTCGGAGGGATACATGATGACGGAGAAGTTCATGGTGGAGCTGCCACCAACCACACGGCCACGTGGCTGCGCAATTTGGCGGTTGTTGACATGCACCTGCAACAGGGGTTAGCCAAGTACCGACATGAGGATCCTGAAGCTGAGAGGCCGAATCCTTACCTGCGGCTCACTCATGTAATCCCAATCGAAATCCGGATTGCCATACATGGTCTCCAAGAAACCAGGAGTCTCAATGCGAGGGTCCCCCATGCGGTTAGCACCGGCTTCGATAAGAAGCACGTTCACATTGGCATCTTCGGTAAGGCGGGAGGCGAGCACCAGCCCACCAATTCCCGCCCCAACAATGATGTAGTCGTAGGATTTCAGACCGGTCATGGTGAGGGATATGTCAATTGGCGTGTTTGGAAGGGAAGAAACAGGCAGGTCGACAGGGCCGCACGGAATGAAATAGGAGGCCTCGTTTTGCGACTCTTGCCTCGACGGGGCAAGTGCACTGATGGGACTCGAACCAAAGGAAATAAAGGTATGTTGGGATTGGCGATGCCACAGTGGAGCAGATAGAGCAGCCCCCAACCGGTGCTCACTCGGCATTTGGCCAGGAGATTGCTGGATTGGCTTTGGTGGAGTGAATGACAGCGGCCGCCGTTTGAACTAGTTGATTAGCTGCGCGGACTAGCCCTACTAACCAACACTACAGAGCGCCGCCGTCGCGCCAAAGATCCTGGCGGGTCCCGCTTAACCCACTAGATTCACTGACGAGCCTAGAGCTGACAGCTCAATTCCGAACCTAGTTATCCTGGTGATGATCGTAAGCCGGATCGTCGCTGTCTGGACCGGCAAGGCTTTTTGGACTGTGCGTTGCTGACTCCTTCAAGTATCACAAGCCTTGCACGCCCGTGTAAGATGAGTTCCAACCTGCCTGGCCAAGTTCTCACCCGTCACAGCTCCCATGATGCCCGGGGGCACGACACCGGCATGGCGATTCAGTTCTACAATATTTTTGTGTACCCCATTGTGCGCGACCAGCTGATCGCCAATACCGTGCTGGTGGCACTGAGCACAGCGTCAATTGGGCTGCGGTTCATGTCGCGCAAGATCAGACAGAGCAAATTTTGGTGGGATGACGCATTCATTGTGATTTCTATGGTGCGGTCACCTGCGAAATTAGGACATGAACTTGGCACTGACTCGCAATCTAGCTGCATACCTATGGTATGCTCGCCATGCAGTATCACTATGCACGGGTCGGCATGCGACACCATGTTACCGAGCTTCCTGCCGTGAATACCATCTTGATCTTTAAGGTTCGTTGTGAAGGCTTGTCCTGCGCTTTGATCCCCACGCTAACTAAACCAGATGCTTATCGTGTACCAAATCGTCTATTACAACGCCATGGTCACCGCCAAATTCTCCTACTTATTCTTCTATCTTCGAATCTTTGTGACGCCTGGATTTCGCATGGCTGCTAGAGTGTGCATGGGCTGCGCGGGGGCCTATTGGCTCGGAAGTATGCTTCAGGTTTTCCTCATCTGTCAACCCTTTGCGAAAAACTGGAACGCTGCTTTGCCTGGTCATTGCGCTAGCATGAACGTCGCCTTTTCAACCATCGGTGCTTTCAATCTCGTGACAGACCTTCTAATTATGGCACTACCGGTTCACCATATCTGGAAACTGCAGATGTCGACCGGGACGAAAGTCGCTCTGTACGGTATATTTGGCGTAGGCTTGTTGTGAGTACCCCCAACGTACATAAACTTAGATTGCAGAAATCGATGGGAACTAATAGTGGGTTGTTAGCATCTCGGCCATCACGATCATCCGTATCCACGTCCTCACCACCGTTGACTTCACCGACCTTTCGTACAGTATGATCTGGGCCGCCTTCTGGAGTGTCACAGAACCTGCACTAGCAATTACCAATGCCTGTGTGCCCATGATGCGTCCTGTATTCAAGGCAGCATTTCCAGGTATATTTTCATCTGCAAAGAATGCTTACTCGTCGCAAACTGGAGCTCAATCCGGTGCTTCGGGTTCGGCGTTCAAACGGATGCGGGATACAGAGAGTGAGATGCCTCTTACGCACCTGGTACCCACTAAGAGCGGAAGCCGTGGTGTGGAATACGAGGCGTCACTGAATGACCGCTCGCAAGATGAACATGTGCCTAGGAGCGTGATTGGGGAGTCGGAGCGGTAGTTCGGTGTGGAAAGTTCCATAAAGCTTCTCTTATGTGTGTATTGCATAACTCCATAATTTTGGCATTTACAGGGATCTTATGCTTTGGTTACATACATGCTGGACAATCCCCGTTCTTCTGGCCAGACAGTCATAGCCTCACAGACTAATAGAATTATCATCATATCATAACCATAGCCATTACCGGATCTTGCCGTCAAGCCTGATTCAGCATATTCACACCTCTCGAGCTCACTGCCGTCTATTCTCTATGACATAGTTCAGCATGCTCTCGACCTCGCTGAGATCCTCTTGTTTGCTGACATCGAAGGGCTTATCGTGGAGTGGAACGAGCTCTTCCCCGGATGTTGCCTTCGCATCGAAATGGTAGAACCTCACACCCTTATGAAGAGCTAATGGTGCATGAACCTTTCCCGAGACGTTCTTCACAATGCAGCGAAGGTCCTCGACAAACTGATGCACAAATGTACAATTCTACAAGTCTGAAATCTCCGCGGGTCGACCCTTGCATCTGACGGTAAATATCTGTGGCCTGAGCGAAGGGCTCTCAAGTGCTTCTGGGGGCATTGATTGGATAATAGCAAGGCCAGGCATGTGATTGTTAATGGGTGCCATGTCTTGACAGAACTACTCGTGGTTACGTTCGACGCAGAGCCAGTCTAATGCTATCGCCTGCAAGATCTAATAGACATTCCTGTCGGTGCTGTTACTCTTGGTCTTATCTATTGCAGACAGATAAGCGAGGTTGGTCTTGAGGGATCTATCGGAAGCAGTGGTCATATTTTCCCTTAGGTTAACGAAGCGAAACTTTAGTCTGAATAGGATAGAATGTCGAATATATAGCACAGATAGAAGAGTGATAATGAACGAAGACGATTTAAGAAGTCCATAGTGCGAAGGCGCTTCATTACTACTCCATATTGTCCAACCCATAATGGCATGAATGACTGAAAGATCGGAATCCATTGTACGGACTTCTTGCAGCCCGGTAGCCGGCCAGACGATGTGCCCTCAGACAAGCCCAATAATTAATCCTCAAGTGGGGTCTGCCGCGGCTTTGGGTGATACGTTAATAGGTGCATTCTGATATTCAGATCGCTTGGGCGCAAGTCAGCGCATGTCTCCTGCCGCATTGACAGTCAGAACCAGGGAATATTCCTTCAGGAAGTGCTAGGCGCTGTCCAGTCAACGTCATCTCTCGAGTAAAACGGCTATATTGAAGCGCGTGTGGTCACTAGAGCCATCAGATAGCCATGAAAATTCCGACTACACGTATATTTGTAGGGCTTAACCAATAGAGAAGGCTAGGTAGCGATGAGGCCGTGACGTATTCCCCCGGCGTATCTGAACGAAGCAATTGGACTTTTCCTTTGAAAGAGTGAGATTATGGTTGATGCGACACAGTTTAAATCCCCCTCTTCCTGTCCGTTTCTCCTGCGTTTTCTTTTCCTCAATGACCCTCCATAGCTCAACTCGGGGATCATTCAATTGCATCGTCTGCTGAAGTCTTTCCGAATTGCACCTAGACGTCTGGTATATCTGTTCGGGGCATTCACCGGGCTAATATAACAAAGACCATGCCGCCCAAACTGATCTGCCCGCTGTGTGAGACCTTTCTCGAGCAGGACTGGGAGCGAAACCATCCAGGGCCTTGGCGTTGGAGGACTCGTCCTTGGTTCACAGAAGTTCGGGGTCTTTATGCAGTCGACGGTGACTTGGACCAAATCGCAGTCACTGGGGTCGGCGTGATACGCCACGACAATATTCTTCACGCATCAATCGACCCGGACAAAGCCTATTTCGAGGTGGAAGACTTCAATGCTCTTAACTTATGGGCGATCCGCGACTTTTCGACAACTTGGTGGTGTTTTGCATTTCACGATTCATGTTGGAACTTCCTTCTACAGAGGCTTCGCCTAGGTGATGCCTTCATAGATGTTGCAACCATTGTGAGATCAGTCTTCTTCCATCTGCACAACAGTCCTGCTCCCAAACCTCCCGGTCCGCACGATAGTAGGTGGTTATATAAAACCGCTGACCCGAATGCATTTCCCAAATTGGAAGTATTGGAAACAGTAAGGGAAGGTGTGTATGCAGAAATGCATTATGGACGGGACACCACTCACTCAGAGGATATGGCGCTGGAAAGTGACAGCGAGCATTCTTCAAGTTATGACACCGGGGCACAAGCAAATTGGAATGAGTCCGGGGCCGGTATCTTTAGAATGCTTCCAGAGGAAACGATTTATGAGGTCCTTACCTATCTAGACATCCGCGATGTCCTCAAACTAAGACTCACATGCCGATATCTGAGTTGGCTGGCAAGTAACAAACAGCTTCCTCCGTCCTTCTGGCGGAGTAGATTTATGCTTGGCCAGGAGTTTTATTATATTTTCCCCGACCTCTATAGCCCACGGAATTGGTTCAGGCTCTACTCCGCTATGAAGGTATTTTCATACGGCCCATCGCAAGCCCTAGCCCATAGAAAAGAAATTTGCGAGCTATTGGAGCCTATTGCATCTCTTGTCGAATTAGAGCCAACTAAACGAAATGGTGGGCAAGGTTTCAGCTATTCTCTGGTGAAATCTCAACGCAATGTTCCTGTCTTAGTGAATATAGCGATCTCAAGGAGAGGCAATCACCACGCAAAAGTCATGACCTTTTTCTCTGGCCATGTAGCAGCTCCCGAGGGAGATTATCCTGTCCAAGATCAATGCGAATTACTTTATCGAAAGGCACAATTGTTCGTGGCTCTGCGTGATTGTCGTCCACTCCGGGTTGGTATCTCGACTGTCGAATTTGGTTCAAACCAATTCATATCCGGTATCAAACTGTTCCCCTCGAGCGATGGAAGCGGAGTCAGTCAATCAATTGGATACCCCAACCCAGATACCGAGAATTGGATTGACATACCCAGGTACAAACGCATTAGGGCTTTCGAGGTACTGTTCTCTTCGGAAGGGCTCAAGGCTATCCGTATACTATACACTGGTTCGAGAGAGTCTGCCTGGGTTGGCCAGCCTAACGTCAAGAAGCTAGCTCGCGGCCTATTGTTGGTTCCAAGTGGAAAGGTGCCGTACTATCTACTAGCAGGCCTGGATCGATTCAAGAATGTTGCACTTGGGTTTGGCGAAATGACCGAACCGGGTGAGCGTGGTTCGAGACCACCCCGTTCTTCCGCGGGTGTAACGCGCTATTCACGTGTGGCATCTCATCTCTGGATGCCACCTGTTCCACTATACGGGAGTTCAATCATAAGCCCCTTGCTCCCATGCAGGCCCTCTGGACCCTTCAATCCACTGTTGCATTTGGACTTTGGCTTCCGTGGGGGTAGCGGTCTCGAGAAGTTGATATATCTTAAATTCCATATGAGATTTTATCGCCATCCGCTTATTGGAATAGTCGCACACTACTCTGACGGCAAAGTTTTGAGTTGTGGCGTTGTTGGTGAGAACGTCATGTCACTTCCCATGAATGGCCCGAAAGGAGAGCGTGTCACGCAAATAAGAATTCTGAGGGATAACCGCTATCACAACCGAGCCGTTCGCTTGGTCGGGCTTGAGGTCCGTTTTACATCGTCTCCAGACTTTTTCCACAATGCTGACCACGGTCTAGGTCTCGACCAACTATGGACGAACTGCCACTTTTGCCCCCCTCGTCCATCATCTCAATGCATCCGCCCGAATGATACCAGGTGTGCCCACGGGACATACCATCACAGGACTCGTTGCTCAGCCAGCCGTAAGTATAACCCTCTCAGTCCATCCAGATAGTAGCTGAATAAGAACAGGCATACAGAAAGTATTTCGATCAATTTCGAATTCATTCGCAAAAATGCGATGCCCCACCCGCCATTCCGGACAATTTGAACGCTGAATGCCATCGGGTCCCGGAAGATCAAGTACAATATGATTTGATGTTGCGCCAAGATAATGGCGAGAAGGACGATATGAAATACTACCAAACCTATGCATCACTCAATGGAGTTCGCAAAATCACCGCCTCTACAGGTGATAGGGGCTATTTCCGCTCTAAACATTGGATCACTGGTTTGAAATTTGAGTATTTTAACCACCCCACTCCAAGCGTTGTTGGGCAGTGGATTCGTCCACTAAGCAATGCAGTCCTTAGACTGTCTCCAGGTGAGGAAATCAGATCGATTACTGTATGGGTTGGCCTGGATGCTTGGATTTCCCAGTCTCCTGAGTCGAGTACAGGCAACATTGCAGCTATATGGATCAACACAGGGGTGAGCAGAGCGACGTTTGCTACTCAAATATTTCACTCCGGCGCAGCCATACAGTCTCAATATCTGAGTGACACTGACGAAGAGCTGACGGCTATCTCATGGGTAGTCAGCGCGAATTCGGATCGGGTCCGCGCAGTCATCTCCCCATACAGAGATCAGAGACCTCGAACGCTCGAACCAACTCCCTCTCCGCCATATGATCGGGTAAGGAAGCTTTACTTTGAGGGTCAAGAAGGCTATGCCCGGCGAAAGAAGATAGTCCAAGCAACAGCCTATATATACGACAGGCAGTTATGTGGACTGAAGTTTACCTATTCGTCAACCCATCAATCTGCCGTTGGTGATATACGTGACTGCATGTCACGTCAAAGTGTTAATTTTTTCAAAGATGATGCTATCATCGGCTTCTCAACCAAAATATCCGGCACTGCACTAGTGGAGATCCAGTTTGAGGTTAAACAGAAGAGGACGGTTCGATGTCTCAGCCTCAGAGACCCCGACCGTGAGCCCTTCGAGTATGACCGGCATCGTTACTGGGGAGATACACCAGCCAACCTTGAGACTGTAACTGACATCTCCGAGCAGGGACGGATTGAAAAGATTTCTGGAACACCCGCTGAATCCAGGTTGACTGGAATCTTTGTGCATTGTGACTGCTTGTCTGCGATCGGCGCCATATATGAACCTACATCTTCGCGGTGAATGTAGAGGCAGATTACACGTTCACTTGTGGCCACATTCAAACTTGCTTTTGCTCATAGGTACGGCGATAGAAGATAGTGATTTATAGAACTGCGAAGCCTCCCAACCTTTTTAGTATGCAACCCGGCATATTGGTTACGTAACGGAGCCAAATAGGGAGATATTGACGACGTTGAGTATTCGCAACGGGAAATTTCCGAGCGCCTCGTATATAAGTGAATAACCGCACGGAGAGAATGATTGGTTGCAAGATCTAACTGACGTCAGTAAGGGACTAATTCATGCTTATAATGTGGACTACTAGATCTCCATTCTCCATCAACAATATAATTTCAGGTGGGTGGTTATATATTTATCCCGAAATCCCGCAATCTATCGGACAATAAGGCATCACCCCAACGGCGTAGAATGCGGGGAATGGGGAATTTCGAGCCTGGCAAGCGAACCCCGAAACTTGAAATGCGAAATCGATACTAGAGTGCAACATCTGGCTGATTGCACCTGCTCCTATAGCAGCGAGTACTTCTCATTTTTTATCAATATCGGAAAACGGTGTTCCGCCGATAAGTCCAAACGAGATTCAGGCAGGGGACCGCGGCCGTGCTGAATCCCCGTCCCCTGCACCTATGAGCAGCTGGACCCTCAAGGTTAGCTCTGTCGTCACGGGGTCCTATCCAATTCGTAAGAGGGTCAGGAACTAGCTCTTAAGTATCACTCCACGCCGTCAGACCACGCGGATCCACCATGGTAGAACAAACGAGCTGGAAAGTGGGGCTGCCAGTCGGGGAGCATGTACCATCTTTCAAGGCACCGACTGGAGGATGATAGAATCAATGCGCAACTGGATAGAGCGGGATTGCTAAGCTCAGCAGGGAAAGAGCGATAAGTCGCATAGATGAAACGTAAACTCGATGCGGGCCTACACGGGATGCGATGGGAGATTATCAAGGGACGGGCCGATGGAAGGGATGGATGGGAGTACCTCGGGAGTGTGGTTTGTTGCTGGATGCCAGGATAGTGAGTGGTGTTGCGAAGGGAATGTCGGCACCAGACCGGCGAGCGAAAGCCGGAGGAACCACCCGCAATCACGGGATTGGTCCGGCTCCGGACACCGGCCGGGGCAGCTGAAGCCGAGGTCGGCGGAGATTCCCCATTCCAGTCGGTTACCCCCGACTTCCTCCATATCAACACCCTCTCGGCTTGCAGACACTCAGGGGTCGTTTCTGCAGGCTCATGCAAGGTCATTACGTGTTTGCATGGCTGTGAATTGCTCTGGAGATGTTCTACAATATATTTGGCAATACATCTACCCAAGAGCATATTGGTCACCTGCAAGACTCTATTACGCTCTCGGAGTCCGCAGAACATCACCATCAATGACTGCATTTGTAGCCAACGTCCGAGAAAGTTTGCCAAGATCATAATCCAAACCCTTGATTTGTGGGGATAACTCTTCTCCCGTCGCTCTGTCGATCCTCCTATATTGCAATCCTTCGTACGCACCCCGGCGAGGGATACACGCAATGCCAGTTGTTGCAGCGCTCTTAGTAGCATCCACTTTGGTTGCGGTTGGCTCAAGATGTCAAGACATGCAGCTGTTGGGGCTTGGCCATCAATCCGAGTGGAGTAACATCCAGAAATGAACAATCTTATTGGTGGTAGGAAACGTTCCGGGCACATCTCTAGGCCAACCTGAAGAAACTGGGTGATATTGAATGTGGCTTCCGCAATTCAACCCGAACATCTTATTCGCCATTAACCTGGATAGCGTGTGAGGGACGGGACACACAGCGTCACTCCTGTGAGTGTAAATCACCCGGTCAAAGCTTGGTTCAATACATAGCACGAAACGCGAGATCAGCAGCTCAACTTGCCCAAATGAGTCTGGATCGGCCTTCTCGTGCACCTCTGGCTTGATGATGATTGGATCTTTGGCCTTTACTCCAAACAGTAATCTCCGAACGACGACTGAGATGGTCACGGAACCATGGCATCGAGAACATTATAAGTAGTGGCATCGCCGGCGTCATCTCAGCTGCTTCCTTTCTAGCAGGCGAGCTTCTCAGACTTACTTCTCAACCTACACTTTCTCTCCTCTGTAACATACAAGGACCCCACTCATCATGAGAGCTGCTCTCGGGGTCTTAGCCGGGGCCACGACCATTGCCCTGTCCCAGGCAGCCAGTTTGGCGGATGTCTGTACCACTAGCCATGCAAAGTCGTCCCTGCCCAGCAGTGATGAAATTGAAGGTCTCGAGATCGACACTTCATCCATCACCGCCAGTGCTGTCTACAATGCTTCCACGTCGGGTAGCTACTTCTTCCCTGCCGCCTCCTACAGCTACTGCAACGTGACCCTCTCGTACACCCGGCCGGGTCTGGATACTCCCCTGCTGTTGGAGCTCTGGTTGCCCGCTCCCGAGGACTATCAAAACCGGTGGCTGTCCACGGGCGGTGGAGGCTTCGCTATCAACTCCGGCACCAGCTCCCTTCCCGGTGGTGTGATGTATGGAGCTGCTGCGGGTATCACGGATGGTGGTTTTGGAGGGTTTGATACCGAATTTGATGCCGTTTTCCTCGAAGCCAACGGTACCATCAACTACGAGGCATTGTATTCTTTTGGCTACCTCGCTCATCACGAACTTACAATCGTTGGAAAAGCCTTTAGCCGCAACTTCTACAGTCTGGGTGACTCCAAGATCTACGCCTACTACCAAGGTTGCTCAGAGGGTGGCCGCGAAGGTTGGAGCCAGGTGCAACGCTATGCGGACCAGTGGGATGGAGCCGTTATCGGTGCCCCTGCATTCCGGTACGGCCAACAACAAGTGAACCACCTCTACCCTGATGTGGTTGAGCACACTCTGGGGTACTACCCTCCTACCTGCGAATTGGAAAAGATCGTCAACTTGACCATCGCGGCATGCGATGCCCTGGATGGCCGTGTCGATGGCGTGGTGGCTCGTACCGATCTGTGCAAGTTGCACTTCAATGTTAACTCGACCGTTGGCGCCCCTTACTCCTGCCCGGCATCTACCACTACCACAGTCCTCAAGAAGCGCACTTCGATGTCCAATACCACCCCCGCGCAGAATGGTACTGTTTCTGCTATCGGAGCTGCTGCAGCCAGCAAGATGCTCGACGGGCTCCGCACCCTGGACGGCCGCCGCGCTTACATCTGGTACCAACCTTCGTCCACCTTCGACGACGCCCAGACCCAGTACAACTACGACACCGGCAAGTGGGAGTTGGATATCACCTCCCTCGGCGGTGAGTGGGTGGCCCGCTTCCTGGAACTGCGCGATGCAGACAACCTCTCCAGCCTGGATAACGTCACGTACGATACCCTGAAGGAGTGGATGGAGTTTGGATGGCAGCGCTACGAGGACAGCCTCCAGACCACCTGGCCCGACTTGACACCCTTCCAATCAGCCGGAGGAAAGATTATCCATGTGCATGGCGAGTCCGACCCCAGTATCCCGACCGGTTCGTCCGTGCACTACCACGAATCTGTCCGCCAGATCATGTATCCCGGCATGTCGTTCAACGAGAGCTCCCAGGCTTTGAATGAATGGAACAGATTGTATCTGATCCCTGGTGCGGCGCACTGCGCGTCGAGCACTACCCAACCTAACGGGCCGTTCCCGCAGACCACCCTTGAGACGCTCATCCAGTGGGTCGAGGGAGGCGTCTTCCCAACCCGCTTGAATGCCACCGTGCTGGCAGGTGAACGGAAGGGTGAGCAGCAGCAGTTGTGCGCGTGGCCCTTGCGCCCCTTGTGGAAGAACAATGGCACCGTTATGGACTGTGTGTTTGATGAGGAGTCCTACAAGACATGGGTGTATGATTTTGATGCGTACAAGCTGCCCCTGTACTAGATTCGATGTGATGTGTTATATGTATTATCAACCTTACTTTGAGAGCATGGATTATTATTGAAAGAACAAAATTCAGAATTACATGTTGTTACTGTTCAAAGTAATGTAGTTTGGATCGTCCAGTTCTAGGTATGCTATAGCATTCACCTCACTGTTCAGTCTATTTCCCCAAAACATTGGCAATGGTCGCAGTGTCCCGCAGGAGTTCCTCCTCGTGCATCGTCCTGCCCATGAGCTGCACACAGCATGGCGCGCCTTCGACATCTTCTGCAACATCTGCGAAGCGTTAGAACGTTTTGAATGGATGTATAGGGAAGAACTTACACGGAGGTCGGTACGTCACATCCCTGACATACTTGGCGTCATCAGCCTTGTTCGCCTTTCTGTACGGAATAATCGTAGCCGGATACTGTAGTCGTTAGCCGAGTCAACATCATCTAAGAGTGAATTTCCATACATCCAAAACATTAGCGAGAACAGTGTACGGCACCCATCCCACTGCATCATGTGCGACCGCAGTTCCCTGATATCCTGGCATAATGATCGCGTCGATCTTGTTCTGGACAATCAGCTGTCGGAACTGCTCGCAGATTGTCTCCCGCTGCACGTTCAGATCATAGAGAGATTCCAGCGTATGTGGGGCCCATTCATATGGCAAATCAGCACTCGGTAGGTCGGTAGTTGCCAGAGCAGGGATGCGTGGCTCGCCGCTCTTGGTGATGTGGCTGAAGGCGGTTCGTGCCGGGTCCATGGCGAAGGTTCGGAAGCCGAGAAGGAGGGCATCTTTGAGGGAAGGGGTGGTTAGGTTGATGACTTCGTGGCCGGCGGCTTTCAGGGCGTCGACTGCGCGGGTTAGGGTGTTGAGAATGGGAGGGTGCACGGGGAAGTGGGGATCTTCGAGGATGAAACCGAGTCGGAGGGTCTCTTTCGGGGGAGCGGTACGCCAGGTGCTGAATATGGTCGAGGAGTCGTATTGCCAGGGGTCGGCATCCACGACTAGTTTCATGAATAGACCGAGGTCGCGCACTGAGGTCGCTAGTGGGCCGGCGCAGGGTCGGATGCCCGCGAGACCCTTGCGGCCGGAGCCTGTCTGGCCTCCGTACGGGATGCGGTGGATGGATGGGCGTAGGGCGAAGGTGCCGTCGAAGATTGCGGGGATGCGGATGGAGCCAGCAATGTCTGTGCCCACGCCCAGGATTGAGCCGCGCATGGCGATTAGAGCACCTTCACCACCTGATGATCCGCCGGCGCTGAGGCTGGTTCGGTTAGGATTGAGGGTCCGACCGAAGACGTAGTTGTGAGAGTCGGCAGCCTGAATACTGTGAGCGATTGGTGATAATAGCGATGGAAGGCAAATATACCATCATTGTCTGGGGAATATTGGTCTTCACATAGAGCACCGCGCCCAAGTCCAGGAGAATCTGGACGACGGAAGAATTGTTCTTAACGGGACCATGTGCGACGAAGGCAGTGAAGCCGATGGTGCTTGGAACTCCTGCGACATTGAAGCAGTCCTGGCACTGTCAATCCCCAAGCTGTTATTGTTCTGGCAACAGTTGATCTACCTTAAGACTGATGGGCAAACCATGCAGCGGTCCGCGGACCTTGCCTGTAGACTGGAAGTAGTCGTCCAGCTCCTTTGCTCGCTCCAAAGCAAGATCAAAAAAGGTTTCTGTTAAGCAGCGCGTCTATATGCGACCGTAAGTATACCCTCACGATCAATTTCGAAGTATTTGGCCTACCACTTGCTGTGCGATGGCCGCCCGAAGGCAAAACGCCTCGGCGACTTCAACGGCGGTATACTTTCCGGAGTGAATCTGCTCAAGCAAGGCCGTAGCGTCATAGTTCTCAGTAATTTCCAGTTGTTTCGCAGACAATAAACCACATTTGCGAGGCACATCGAGCACATTGGTCGGGGTTGTTTCGGACACATTCTCCGTAAACTCAGCCGGTAGCCGCCATGCCTGGGGGATTTTTGCGGCTGCGTCGGCCTGCTTCTGTTGCACAATTGTCTCCCACTGTTCGACTGCCATAGTGTTTTTGTATAGGGGGTTATAAATGCTGAGGTTATGAGGAGTGGTCCGACTGGGGAGAGAACCACGGATATATGGCTCGGGAATGAGACAAGCCGAGGGTTTATTGCGACTACACAACCCCGCGCGGGGTATTCGGAGTGGATGGATAGGAGATCCTTTCCCATCCTGAAGCTCCACTTCTGCCTAACTGTCTGTGTTCATATGAAGAGCGGATTGCATGAGAGACGTTGGTTGATAAGCACAGCTGCCCTGCAAAGCACAACCTGTTCTCGGCTCACCGAAATTGGGAAGCAAGGCAGTTTGGTGATGCGCTCGGGTTTCGGATAGGATATCCGAACTGATATCATTCGTTGAGCCCTAGACCTCCTGACTTGTTATATGCAGTTATACATCTCAAAGAATAACCCAAGTCGGAATACATTTTAGGAGCAGAGAATTCTATGGTACATGCCATTCTTTCCACATTCCGAATAATCCTCTTTCGCATGTGCCACCCTGACTATAATCGTACAGAAACTTGTATTTGCAGTCGGGACTCGGAATCTCAATGGTTTCACCGACGCGATATATGTAGCTCGGGCCTTTAGAAAAAAGCGATGGGATTCGGCGCAGTGCCATCCACGGCTTGCTGCACGTCATAATGTTCCACCAAGCACGTCCCCACCATGCGGATCATGTCCACCAGGGCCGAATTGGGGATCCCCATGGTCGCATTACCAATGACTTTGGTATGAGCAGTTCCATATGCAGTGCCGTCCTTATCCCATCCGACAAACGCACGCTGTAACTGAGAGTCCACATTGGGGACAATAGCGGACAACTCGCCCAGAGTAGTGTCGATGCCATTTCCAGTCACCAGAGGCGAATGATTGATGTAGCCGGTTGCGACATATTTCGTGAAGGCGTCGGTGAGGCGCTTCTCTGTGTAGAGCAAGTTGGTGAAGTCGTCCCAGGCGGCCAGCTGTTCGGCCTGGGAGGCCTCCAGCTTGGTGGTGTCGGGGCAGCCGAGGGCAGTGAATTCATCGGGGCTTCCGCGCCGGACGGCCTGGGCGGCTGTCAGGACACCAAGGGAGACGAGCCCGGTGACAATAGCAACCACGCGCATGACTGGTCGATAATGATAGATTCGGTGTAATATTGGAAGATGTCAGGGAATCGCTACTCTGAACGCCATTATGGGGAGACATGAGCCATTAAGTAGAGCGTGAGGAATGTTGTGTTTCTTCTCCGCTCGCGGTCGGTATGTGGCCGTGTCTAGGGCACGGTCGGGCTATTTAATCCAACTCTTGGACCTCGTGTATGTGAGCATGATTTCAGGATCGCAAATGCCAGCCAAGGGATCTATCGAGTGTCTGGACTAGCGCGACCACGGATCAGAAACATTCGCTTTCCGGTTCAGCGCATCTGGCCATCCTGGCAAGGAAATCGGGAAAGCGAAAGGGTATATCACGCGTCACCTCACTTATGGAACTGGGAATTACTTTTCCAGACGCAGCAAAATGCCAACCTGAATGAACTCGAGTGTCAAATGGTCAAAGTGACCTCCTGGATGAAAGTGTTATGGCGATGAGTCGAATTCACAAGAGTAGGAAACTACCAGTGGCAGCCTAAAGTTGGCTTGGCTTAAATTCCGCGGTCGCAAAGTTGAGTTCCTCGACTTGCTCCAGAATGCAAATCAAGTTATATCGCTCCCTTTACACTGCAATTGACATGCATTTCCACCAACTTCTTGCTCTGATTACATCGACCTTAATCACAGCAGCAGCTGGTGGACAAAGTCTCCTTCCCGAGCAGCTGTTCTTCGATTTTCCCGTTGCAGAGGTGCTCAATCGAACCGCCTGGGACTTGGTGGAGCCATGGGCTACCGAGTACTGCACCGCCATTGCAGAGCAGCGATACGGGGATGCCATCTATGCCCGATACAACATCTTTGGGGACATCAAGGACGGCATGTTGACGTTGTGGGATTGCACTGATGAAGGGCCGTACCGTGAACGGAACATCACTGTGTATGAGCAGATCATGGAGGATGCTCGAGGGTATTACGATGGATACCAGGACATTTACCAAGAAGCGCTGGAGTTTTATAGCCGCAACAGTCCCAACGACTCGCGGCGAGACATAATCGAAGCGCTGAACAATGTGATGTACAATGGGTCAGACTTCTAGCCGTTCACGAGTTCCATTCATTCTACTTCTACTCACTATTGGATACTTGCAAGTACTCGATCACGTTCGTATTTATGTCGGAAAGATTTAATTGGTATGCAGTTTGACAGGTAGCACGCCACGCTGGGACGTTGTGATGACTGCTTTAGCAGGACGTTTCATTCCTAAGAGATACTATATATTAAAGCATCGAGTCCCTTGTATCTAGACTTCCCATCACTCTCATGTAAAGAGGTATAGACAAATCACAAGTATACTCCGCGGCACCGAAAGCGAGATGAACCATGTGCACGGACCCAGTTATTGCCTCATTGGGAAGGCTCTTCCGGTGGAGTAAACTGCCGGACGCGGCAACTCTTCCACTTTCTTTGCTTCTTCAATCTTCATGTTTTAACTTTCACATCATCTCCCAAGTATCCTGCATCCCTCCAGCATGGAGGATGGCCCTGGTCGGAGGGTCAGTCCCGCCACCAAAGTCCCCAGCGCATGTCAGCGCTGTCGACGTCAAAAGCTAAAGGTCCGCTATCCAAGTAAGCCTGGAACATCCGACCTATCTGCTCACACTTGGTCAGTGCGACATCCAACGGCCTTGTACCCTCTGCACCCGCGCCGGGGTCCGCTGTCTTCCCGGTTCGGCGACCCGCTGGCGACCCTACCGGCATCCGCAGGATACGCCCGCATCACCAACGGCCCAGACACCAAATACAAGTGCCCCGAGACGCCATGCGAGTTCACCCTATGTCATCGGTTCTGACCAACGTCCCGTCGAGACGCCAACTCCAGGGACACCATCGCACCGAAAAGATCGTGATTGGATATCAAGCTCCACTATATCCCTTCTAGGCGGGGTGAGATCCCTGTATCGACTCGCACAATAGGCGATATTGACAACTATATGAATAGGCATTCAATTTTCACAATGTGGCCGCACCGGGGCCACCTGCAACCGACGCACTGCCGGGAGCCCCATTGCGAGAGCCTAAATCTGCTTCACCGAGCGTTGAGGTTGACACATCTGAGCCTTCCTCTTCAACTGCACTCGCGACTTGCGATCCGTTCTCTTCCGTTACGGGGAATTTGGCGTCCCTACTACCCAGCTTTGACGCGGCCAGGCTTCTCGTAGATACATATTTTGATCGAGCGCACTGGTTCATGTTGGTCTTCTATCAAGACGAGTTTCGTCAGCGGTGGCCCAAACTGTACGGTAGCTCTACTGAGAGGCCTTCAATATACGCCCACCATCACCTCGGCTTTCTCAGCACCTTCCTGATCGTGATTGCTGTCGGGCTGCAGTACACCGGGCCCTATCGACGTGAGATTCTCTCGAGATATGGGGTTGAAATGGCCCTTAGGGATCGCATTCTCTCTGTTGTGAGATCGGGGCTTCTTGACATCATGTCCCTCGGGTCTTTAGAAGCAGTTCAAACCTGCATTCTCCTTGGTACGTATTATTTATACCATGGTGCTCCACGACTGGCATGGCCAGTATGCGGATGTGGGCTTCGTATCGCCCAGGCTCTACAATTACACCGCCGGCAGAATCCCGTTCAATCGACTAATCTCCGAACGCGCAATGAAACTCGCAAAAGATGCTGGTGGGCAGTGTATGAGGTTGAAACCTTCTCTGCCGTAGCATATGGCTATCCACACAGTATCCGCGATGACGATTGTGACGTAGAACCGTTGGATCCATCAGCCAAGCTTCAGACTATGCAGTCTCCAGGTTCGTTCGATGAACCTCTGACGTCGGATCCAACGCTACTTTCCTACAAGTACTTCATAACCAAACTATCTACCATCACTAAGGGATCCTTGGATGACCTGAATCGCGTTCGCTCGCATGCAGCTAGCCGATCTCACCCAAATTCACTGGATATCCAAAGAATCGTTCGAAAGGTAGCCGACTACGACAGTCGACTCAGTCATTGGGAAGCAGAGATTCCTCTTCCACTCCAGTGGCGCAGGGTCGCTCACCAGTCTCATTATGCCTCTGCCGAAGAAGTCGATCGCGATATTGGAGCCTCAGGGCCTCGCTTCGAGAATCATATTTATCAACTCCAAGCTCTCGCTCTGTGGCTTGCGTATCAGAACGCACGCATTCTCACGCACCGTCCACTTCTTTCCTACACGCTGGCCGCTCGAGAACGAACCAGCAAGTATAATGGTGATGCTGCATATTCGGTCGACCCATTTAATGCCTCTTTGAACGCTTGTCGTGATGCGGCGCTCGGCATGTCGGATATTCTGTCAAGCCCGTTATTAGAAGTGGTTTCGGAAACCTATGCAGCTTCGTTCGTTAGCATTCATACATTCACAGCAGGCGTGACCCTCGGTATCCTCAGCAGCATGGATCCTCTGGGTCCACACTCTACCGAGACCAAGTCCGGACTCCGCAAATTGATCGGCATCCAGGACAAGCTCCGATCACACTCAGTTGCAGCGCAGCAGGGACTGACCATTCTTCAGCGCCTGGTAAAATTGGTCATGGAAAAAGAACTCAGCGTAATGATGGAATTGTCTACTTCTGCAACCACTGCGCATCCAAATGAGCCGACAATAACGAATCCTTCCTCAAGACAGAGAATGTCGGACCAAGTCTCCGATGAACCAGTAGCTCGATATGATGCCATTGATCCTCCTGGGGTACCCACAGCAGTCGTAGGCTCCATTGCTCGGGATATCCCAGCTGCAGATGGATCCGCTCAATACATGCATGATCCTGCGCTAGCAGCTGCCCTTCAAGACTTTGATCAAGGTATTCCTTTCTAACGCTTTTATCAATCAATGCTAATGCTTTTATAGCTCTGTCAAACTATGCCCCTCGAGCCCAAGTAGTCTCTCATGGCAGCCCAGACAACCCGTCATTCTGGCCCACCACGGAGGGCTTTCCGATCCTGGAGCAGAGTTGGATGTGGGGTCTAGAAGGTGCACCTTTCTACGGGGAGCATACAGGTCCAAGCTATGGCAGTAGCTATACACCCTGAGAAACAGCAGTCCGCGATGTGAATGAACATTTAGAGTGCGGGTGTACCCTTGAGATCGCTCCGGTGGGACAAATTACCTAATTGGGAAGGCTTTCCGCCGGAGACCTCTGCGGGGTCCAGGTATAAGAACGAGGCGTCCCCGGACATAACATACTCCACAACTGATAAACACAATCTCATCAAAAGTATTCCGTCATGGCACACAAAATCACGATGACCCTGCCCCAATTGGCGAAGATGATCGACCACTCTCTCCTCCACCCCACCATGACCGACGCCGACATCATAGCCGGCCTCAAGATTGCCCGCGACAATCACGTCGCAACCGCCTGTGTCAAACCCTACGCCATCCCCTTAGCCAAGAAAGAGCTTGCCGGATCAGACGTTCTGGTCTGTCCGGTCATCGGATTCCCCCACGGCAACAGTACCACCGAGATCAAGGTCCTCGAAGCCACCGCTGCAGCCAAGGCTGGCGGAGCCGAGATCGACATGGTAGTCAATGTCGGCAAGGTCCTCGGGGAGGAATGGGACTATGTGGCGGAGGAAATTCGCCAGATCAATGAGGCTGTGGTTTCCAACGGGGCTGTTTTGAAGGTCATCTTCGAGAATGATTACTTACGACCTGAGCATATTGCTCGTCTCTGTGAGATTTGTACTCAGATTGGAGTTGCCTTTGTGAAGACATCGACCGGATATGGGTTTGTCAAGCAGCCTGATGGCGCGTATAATTACAGGGGTGCCACCGTGCAAACTCTCAAGTTGATGCGGGAGAAATCGGGCGAAAAGGTGCAGATTAAAGCTGCGGGAGGAGTTCGTACATTGGATGATCTGCTGCATGTTATGAGTTTGGGTGTTACTCGCATTGGAGCCACGGCTACTGTCGCAATTTTGGAGGATGCCAGGAAGCGTGGGGTTGGGAATGAGCCTGTCGAGGTGGAGTTCAAGCCGATGGCGGAGGCATCTGGGGGATACTGATTGCATTAGCATGTTTATACCCATCTTACATATTTGACCAATGTAAATCCCCCGTCTCTCCTTCTCTTAGCCACACGCCAATTGATGCTCGGCCCACCAACCTTTTTCTCTAAGTAGGATGCGATGTGGCGAATAGCTGCTCCAAGTGAATACATGACGGGCCAGCTGGCTATACTTCCCTATTAGGTAATTCCCACCGCCGGGCGGGGTTCCACTCCGCTTCTGACTTTCTTCATAGATACATAAAGTTCAAGTATGACTATATATGCTGGATCGTTGCCAAAGTAATAGTAAATCTGGTCTTTTTGTACCATTCAGCACAATCAACATGTCATTCAATCCCAACAAATACGGCGACGAAGTCCAGAAGGTATCCAGGGACACACCACTGGAGGAAATTATCTATCTACTCAAACGAGACGGAGGGGTATTCATCAAGGGCCTCATCTCGGAGGAAGATGTTGACCAAGCCTCCCAAGAAGCCAAACCTCGTCTCGATGCAGATGTAGAATGGAATGGCTCTTTCTTCCCGGGTGAGTCGACTCTTTGCTCTCTTTCCTCAGACAATCACAGCTCATTCATCAGCACAAACTCAACGCGCCCCATCTCTTATCGCTCATAGCTCGACCTACACCAAGACTCAAGTCATGAATCCTCTCTTTCACCAGGTATGCGAGCACTTCCTAACCTCCAGACGATGGTACTGGTGGGGAGACGAGAAGAAGATGTCTGTCTCTAAGCCGTATGTGCACTCTTGCACGGCCATGAGAATCGGCCCCGGAGCCAAGGCGCAGCCCCTGCATCGTGACGATTACATCAACCATCGCTTCCACACTGAAGTCGGTCAGTGGGATGATGTGCGAGACATGGAGCGCGAGTCTGCCGTCGGCCTTTTCGTAGCTGGTTGTCGCGTCACGCGGGAGAATGGAGGGACGCAGTTTATTCCTCGGAGCCATCTTTGGTAGGCGAACTCACTCTTAACAACCTGTTTCTATAGTCTGATCTGACAGCCAAGCAGGGGCACAGAGCGCACTACGCCTCCAAAAGTCGAGCAATGTATTTTTGCGGATATGGAAAAAGGCGATGGCTTCATCATGTTGGCGTCGGCATACCATGGAGGGGGCTCAAACATCACCGAAGACGAGTACCGGTTGACGTTCGCCACGTTCGTCGTTCGAGGATACCTGCGCCAGGAAGAGAACCAGTTCTTGGCGGTGCCAGCGGATGTCGCGCGCACGTATGACCGGGAGACTTTGGAGTTCATGGGCTACGCCATGAGTGAGCCGGCTTGTGGTTATGTGGATCAGATGGATCCTATCTATCATCTTTGTCCGGAGCTGAAGGAGAATGAGCGGCCGCGAGACTTTTAGTCGAAGTTTTTTGGGGTAGTCTTGTTTATGCTGTAAACACAGTGCAGATTTCAGGCACGTTGCAAATGTATGTACAGTGACCAATGATTCGAGGAAAGTCGCTCGATGACGGGGTGTACTCTAAGGAGCACAGCTTGGGTATATAATATGAGCTTAGTGCACTTCTGCAATTATGAAATTCACTCACTCTTACTCATATGGTAATGACAACCTATGACAAAATCACCACGGTAGAGACTACGACCCGGTAGGAACTTTATTACGTCCATTCCGTATAATGCATAGGAACCATTATCCGCACCGTGACGACATCGAGCAACTTATAATCCAGCCAAAGAACCCCCAATCTATCCTAACCTCCATCCCTTTTGCACTGCAGAGATACCACAAGTTGACGGAATAACCCACGAGATCAGAGCCCTACACACAGACAACATGATGCACAGCAACCCAACATCCCCACTTTACCTCCTATTCCGTTCCACTCCTACACCATCCCAACAGGAACCCGGCGATGACACCACCAAAGCCATCAAGCGCGCCCTCAGCGACAACGACATCCAGACCATCTTCTTCGTCAACCTGATCACCGACCACGATGATAAATCCATCGTGTCCAACCTCAATGCCAGCCACTGCTATCTCACTACTGAAGTGGAGAGAGAAATCTACGACAGGGTTCAACGCAACGACCTACCATCGGATACCTCACTCTCCGCCGGATTCGAACGGGGTGCGTCTCGAGTCGAGGTTCTGGGTGACTTGCTTCGGAAGGTATCGTGGTAGGTGCCATCGAACAATATTATACTGAACATACATACCTAGGACTAAACTGAACCCTAACAAAACAGGGTATTTGTGAAATGCGAGCTACCGTTCCAGGAAAAGCAGCTCCCCAGCGATAAAACCTACCACCAAACCAAAGCCTGTCTGTATCAGGAGATACGCAAACACTTGATGGCCTCCAGTTTATCCCACGGGATATACACCAGATTAGAATCGGTCGCTAAAACTATAGCGGAGATGATAGTCCTAAGCGGGGACTCGTCGCCTCAACGCAAGCGATTCGGGGTGTTGGTTACTTCGCCGGGGGACAGAGGTCCGTTGTCGCCACGTGGTGAGTGGAATTGTTTTCGATGAGAAAGGTACCCCAGGTACCCCCATTGATGTCTGACTGATATGCATATGCATAGTCCTTCGATACAACCAGTTTGAGTTCGATCCGGTCGGGCTATACTTACGATCCAGTCTATACGTGGCTCAGTTCGTTGAAGATAACTTCAAAGGGGTGCGAAAGGGTAGTACTATGGACCCTCGTGGCTTCGAGCTGGTGCAGGGTCTGACGGACCAGAGGTCTATAGATGTCTACTTGCCATGTCCTTATGTCAGTAATTTGTGGCGTGCGTGCGACTAGAATTGGTAGTGAGATCGGGAGCTGAATATCAGTGTAGTACGGTGATAGTAATGATTGCTCAGTTATTGCCTGTTCGGACATATATACTCCGCTTCCTGTAGAAGGAGACGTTCCCTTCCCTAAAATAGCAATATAAAGCAGTGTTGGTATGAGTAGATAGGTAAGTAGGACCTGCCATGCAGCTGCTCGGCTCAGCCACTGACATGGATCCATGTGCGGCCGGCGAGCTGAACTCATACCCAACTGCGACATGTCTGATGGTTAAGATGTCCTACGTTACATACAAACAGTAATAGATGATACCCAGGAAATCATTTCATTCGTGTGATTATAGCGATGTCCATAGGGGACAGTGTCTATGTCTATGGAAAATAACAAAAATCTAAATCCGCCAACAGGAGATGATATAAGGCACCATCTTCTAAATATCAATCCTCACTCCTCTAGATCGGCTCGTCCCGCGGCTCGATCAGCACTTCATTGACAGAGACATGGGCCGGCTGGCGCAGCGCGTATATAATGGAATCCGCCACATTGTCCGGCTCGAGGATCTGTGCGCCGGACGGTTCGCCATATTTCTTGACGGCCTCGGCATCCGTGGACATGCCCAAAAGGTCCGTCGCCGTGTTACCAGGCTGTACACTGGTCACACGCAGACCCATACCTGCTGTCTCCAAGCGGAGCGACTGCAGCGTCGCCTCAACAAAGAACTTACTGGCCGAGTAAACACCCAGGCCAGGGAATACCTTGCGTCCAGCATCGGAAGAGATCGCGACAATGTGACCACGACCCCGCGAAAGCATGCCGGGCACACTGGCCGAGAGGCAGTGGAGGAGACCCTTGCAGTTGACGTCGACCGTACGCTCCCATTCTTCAGTCTGCACATTGGCCATCATTGTAAAGTACATCACTCCGGCACACGACACGATAATATCCACTGGGCCAAGTTCGTCGTTGGCCGCTTTGAAAAGAGCGTCCACCTGCTCCTTGCTCGTGACATCGGTCTTCCGGGCAATGACCTTGCCACCGTGGGCCGTGATGCGGCCCTTGAGTGATTCAAGTGCGTCGAGACGACGAGCGGCGAGAGCCACATGGCAACCCTCTCGACCTAGAGCAGCCGCGACCGCGGCTCCAATGCCAGAAGAGGCACCCGTCACGACGGCCACCTTTCCGCTAAGCGGACCCTTGATGGCAGGCTTCGCGGTCCCGTTGAGACCTTGCTGGCGAAGCGGCGGCCGCGGCAGCCAGCCTCGAGCGAACCAGTGCCGCGTGTAGGTCTCCAGCAGAGCCCGGTCGACCTTGGGCCGTTCCACGACCGCCCGGAAAGGACGAGTGGCCGCATTGTCCAGCACGACGATGCCCCGGAGGAATTCCACCGTGGGCATGCCACTGCGGAGGATATCAACGGTGAAACCACCGTCTCCACCTTTGACCGCACTGCGCTTCTCGTTCCACAGTGATACCCAATCATCCCATGCCAGGGACTTGGTCGGGTAGCCCAGCTCATTCAGAGATGCAAAGACCGCCCGTGTATCGACCGGGTTCGGATCGCCGAGGTGGAACACGGTTTGCTCAGCGTGCGTTTGACTGGCGAGATGCACAATAGCCTTGCTGACAAAGTCCACGGGCGTCATTTCCGCTCGCCAGCCTTCCACTTCAGGCGCGTAGCCGAGCTTAATCGACTCAACGAACAAGGCCGACAACAGATCCCAGGCATTAGCGGCACCCGTCTGGCTGTGGCCGCTGATGGTTCCGGCACGGTGAATCTTCACGGGCAGTCCGCGACGACCCGCTTCAAGCACCAGCTGCTCGGCCACCCACTTGGTTTGACCGTATCCATCCAACAGCTTGTCGGGGACGTCGTCCACTGGGAGCATGGCGTCCTCGGGCCAGCCCTTCTCTCCGGACGGCGGGAGCACGCCATTGGTGGAGACATATTGTACGGTCGCACCACCCTTGCACGCCAAGCGGAGGACTTCTCGCGTACCGCCGACATTGGGCCCGCGAAGAGCCGCATAAGGGTAGACCAAGTTGACGGTGGCCGCAGCATGAACGATGACCTGCACGCGGGCGGCAAGCTCGTCGAACGCTTCTGGGGAGAGGCCGAAGCGGGTCCGCGACAGGTTTCCGGGCAGGATCTCAACGCGCTCCATGATGGAGTCACGCCATAGTCCCAGGTCCAAGAGGTTTCGGCGAATTCTGGCCACACCACCAGGCTGGTCATCATCAGCCGGGTCCGTAAATCGGACCAAGCAGATAATATGCGCGGAGGTGCTCTCGAGCAG